ATCATATTTTTATGAAAGCATCCTCAGATAGTGTAGATTTCATTTTGTACAAATCATGACCCCCGGGTGTAGGGTTGGGCCACAATGGCTGATCAAAATTTTACATAGGACTATATAGGAAAAATCTTTAAAAATCTTTTTCTCAAGGATCACTGGGCCAGGAAAGATAAAACTCATGTGGAAGCATCCTCAGGTAGTGTAGATTCAAGTTTGTTCAAATCATGACATCCAGGGGTAGGTTGTGGCCACATGGCCAATCAAATTTTTACATAGGAATATATAGGGAAAATCTTTAAAAATTTTCTCAAGAACCACTGGGCCAGGAAAGATGAAACTCATGTGGAAGCATCCTCAGCTAGGGTAGATTCAAGTTTGTTCAAATCATGACCCCTGGGGGTAGGGTAGGACCACAATGACTGATCAAAGATTTACATAGCAATGTAAAGGAAAAATCATTAAAAATCTTCTTCTCTAGAATTTTAACCACTGGGCCAGGAAAGATGAAACTCGTGAAATCATCCCCAGGTAGTGTAGATTCAAGTTTCTTCAAATCATGACCACCAGGGTAGGATGGAACCAAAATGGCTGATCAAAGTTTTACATAGGACTAGATAGGGAAATCTTTAAAAATTGTCTTCTCAAGTACTTCAAAGCCATGATTAGTGATATTTATATGGAATCATTCTCAGGTAGTGTAGATTCTAGTTTGTTCAAATTATAACCCCCAGGGATAGGGTGGGGTCACAATGGGGGATTTAAGTTTTACCTTAAAATATATTTTTTAAAAATCTTCTTCTCAAGCATAGCAAAGCCATGATTAGTGATACCAGTATTTATATGGAAGCATTTTCAGGTAGTGTAGAATTAAGTTTGTTCAAATCCTGATTTAGATTCATCCAAATCATGGCCCTTTGGGGTAGGGAGGGAAACAATGGGGAATCAAATTTAAATTTTTTTGAAGTTATATAGAGGAAGAAAATGTTTTTAAAAAATCTTTTTTCAAGAACAGCAATGTCATATGCTGTATTAATATGAAGGCATTTTCAAGCAGTATTAAATTCAAGCCCCCCCCCCCCCCCTTCATTAATCTGTTTCAGTTCTGATCTGATTTGTGCTTTTTCCTTGCCGATTTGCTTAGGTGAGCAATGTGGCCCCTGGGCCTCTTGTTTACTTTGGATTTTTCTTTGTATTCCTTTTTGCAAAAAGTCTTGTAAATGCTTAAATGATAATGTCTCTTGTAATCATTAAGTTTGCCAAAAATCTACATTATAAAGTTTACAGAAGTAGCCCCTCTCTGTTTAAGAGAAATATATCTGACATTTCCTATACTGAAGATATAAAATTTTTGTTTTTACAGGTGTTCTTAGATACTTCAAAGAATTCAAGCATAGAGTTGGAGGAATTGAAACTGGACAATTCAGAAATAAAAGCTGTCAAAGATGTAAACAGTGAGATATATGCTATGTCACAGAATAAGGTTTGTAACTATATACTCAGTACATTGTAGTTGAATATGGAGTCTATTCCATGAGGGGGGTAGGATTTTTAGGTCACCTGAGTAACTCAGGTGACCTATTGCTATCCGTTTTCGTCCGTCGTCGTCCGTCGTGCGTCGTGTGTTAACATTTGAACATTTTCAGCTTCTTCTCTGCAACCACTGAACCAATTACAACCAAATTTGGTATACAGCATCTATGGGTGGAGGGGAACAAAAATTGTGAATTTCATGGTCCCCGCCCCCCTGGGGCCTGAGGGGTGGGGCCAAAACCACTAAAATTAATGAAATCTTTAAAAATCTTCTTCTTTACTCCTGGACATCAAGCAGGCAAACTATTGGCATGAATGTAATGAGCATTGAGTCCTCTACCAAAATTGTGAAATTCATGGCCCCAGGGTCAGGGGTTCTAGTGCTAGGGCGGGGCTCTATAGATTATATGGTGAAAATGCATTATTTCTTAGAAAATCTTCTTCTCTGCTCCTGGGTATTAAATACACTAACTAAGCACATAGTTATGATGAGCAAGAGTGCCTCTTCCAGATTTGTGAATTTCATGGCCCCAGGGTCAGGGGTTCTGGTGTTAGGGCGAGGCTCTATAGATTATATAGTGAAAATGCATTATTTCTTTGAAAATCTTCTTTTCTGCTCCTGGGTATTTAATAAACAAATTAAGCACATAGTTATGATGAGCAAGAGTGCCTCTTCCAGATTTGTGAATTTTATGGCCCCAGGGTCAGGGGTTCTGGTGTTAGGGCGGGGCTCTATAGATTATATAGTGAAAATGCATTATTTCTTAGAAAATCTTCTTCTCTGCTCCTGGGTATTAAATACACTAACTAAGCACATAGTTATGATGAGCAAGAGTGCTTCTTCCAAAATTGTGAATTTTATGGCCCCAGGGTCAGGGGTTCTGGTGTTAGGGCGGGGCTCTATAGATTATATAGTAAAAATGCATTATTTCTTTGAAAATCTTCTTCTCTGCTCCTGGGTATTAGATAAACTAACTAAGCATATAGCTATGATGAGCAAGAGTGCCTCTTCCAAAATTGTGAATTTTATGGCCCCAGGGTCAGGGGTTCTGGTGTTAGGGCGGGGCTCTATAGATTATATAGTGAAAATGCATTATTTCTTTGAAAATTTTCCTCTCTGCTCCTGGGTATTAAATACACTAAATAAGCACATAGTTATGATGAGCAAGAGTGCCTCTTCCAAAATTGTGAATTTTATGGCCCCAGGGTCAGGGGTTCTGGTGTTAGGGCGGGGCTCTATAGATTATATAGTGAAAATGCATTATTTCTTAGAAAATCTTCTTCTCTGCTCCTGGGTATTAGATTAACTAACTAAGCACATAGTTATGATGAGCAAAAGTGCCTCTTCCAAAATTGTGAATTTTATGGCCCCAGGGTCAGGGGTTCTGGTGTTAAGTCGGGGCTCTATTGATTATATAGTAAAAATACATTTATTCTTTGTAAATATTTTTCTTTGCTTTTGGGTTTTAAGCCAATGATCCAAGTATATATATATATTTATGATGAAGAAAGGTGCATCTAGAAAAGTGGTTATTAATGCCCCCAGGGTCAAAGGGGGGGGGGGGTTACATAGCCTGAAAATAAATTAATGCTTTGAAATCTGCTCTTTGGTATTAATCAACCATTTTATGATAAAATGTGCAAAATTTTGAAATATATGGCCCTGGGTCAGTGGTTCCTTTGGGGTGAGGTGCACAACTGGTTATAAAGTGGAAGTGCATTTTCTCTTTGTTACTCTGATCTACCTCTGGGTATTAAGTAAATAGAGTAAGCATGCTAAGTTAATAATTATGATATGCAATGGTGCCTCTTTCAAAATTGTAAATTGTGAATTTCATGGCCTCCGGTTTAAACACGAACCAAATTTAATTGTTTGAAAGTTGTTACACAATACTCAGGTGACCTATAAGGCCCGTGGGCCTCTTGTTGTGATATATTTTCACATGAAAATTGGATTCTACATTCCATTACAAAGCAGTGATTTTTACTATTGCTCCTATTCTCCCCCTTGTCCCTATTCTTTTGACTGTCTGTAATATTGTGGCCTAGGCTCTAAGTATAATGTCAAAGAGTGTATGGCAAAGCTAAGAGATAGATTAAAAATTGAAAACATTTTTTCAACAATAAAGAGGAACTGGTAGTTTTACTCAGAGTCAGAATGGTCATGTACATGTAGTCACTTGATCTGTTTAAAGGGATTTTCCTTAGCACAAAGAAAGGAAAGGGGGTGGGGGTTGCCTCCAACATGTCCAAATTTAAAATCCGATAATGAAAAATGATTACAAGATACAACATATAGCTTCTGTTTACTTACCTAAAATTCTGCAAGAAGGAAGATTTTCTGATTAATGTTTTTATCAGATGAGACTTTGGTGTAAAAATCTTCCTTAACAACAGCCAATGGAACAGGAATAAAGCTTAAAATTTACTGAAGAATATTAAGAAGTGCAAATCAACAAATTGTCCTATATGTGCTAGCAAGCTTGAAATGTAGAATAAAATTTATGAAATTATTGCCCAAGGATTAGGATAAGGCAATTGAGAGAGGTAGTTACAAAATTGAAAAGAAATTTTTAAAATTCTTAATTGTTGGATGTGTACTTTAATTTTTACAGATTGTTAAATTGCACCAGCAGAGAAATTGTTCACAGTACTCACAGAATTGCACAGCGTGTATGGGAGCAAAGGATGCCCATTGTGGATGGTGTATTAATACTAATAGGTTAGCTTGTGATAAATTATTTTGTTGTTTTGCATTTAATATTTGTTTAAAAATCTTCTCCTCTGTACCTGCAGGGTTTTTAGCAGATAAACTAAATGCATGATAATGATGAGCATGTATACTTTGTTAAAAAGCTTGAAATTCATAATCCCTAGGTCAGAGTTTTTGTCAATCTAAATAAATTAGATCTTTGATCCACTCGTTTGATAGCTACACAAAGCATTGCGATCAAACTGGAGCAAATCAAAGATCTAATTTTAATTAGATTGGGTTTTTGTTGTTGATTAAGGCTATAGTCAGTTTTGAATATATGTAATGAAGATGCATTACATGTATTTCTTTGAAGTTTTCTCCACCCCTTGGTAGTTTGCAGACATACTTTAAAAGTTAGTGCATGGTTATGATGAGCAAGAGTGCTTCTACCTAAATTGTGAATTTATTGATTCTTGGATTAGAGACTATAATATTCAGGCTGAAGCTGTGTTGAGTCTACAGTGAAAATGCAGTATTTCATTTAAAATCCTCTAGTCTGCTCCTGAGCATCTACTGAGGCAAACAGGGTATATAAAAGTGTAATAAGCAAGGGTAATTAATTCATTCATTCAAGCTGTAACAGCTTCTAGTGAATGTGAGTGTGATTTTTCATTTTTTTTATGCCCTCGGATCAAAAGATCCTGGGAGTATATTGTTTTTGTCCCCTCTGTCTGTTTGTCTGTCTGTTGTCAACATTAACCTAGCCCATAACTATTGAGTGGGTGGGGCTATTACTTTCATATTTCACAGGTGTATTCCTTGTGACAAGACCTTTCTTTCGATACCACCAAATTTGACCTCTTAACTTTGGAATTTGACCTTCTTTTACAAAACAATACACATGTACCACAATAGTCTTTAACCTTAGTCATAACTTTTGAACAGTTGGAGCTAGGCCTTTCATCCTTCACGTGTATACATATTCATTATGACAAGACCTTTCAGCTGAAATAAATATTTTTAACCTTGACCTACTCTAAGAGTTTGTCCCACTTTTAAAAAACTTTAACCTTGGTCATAGCTTTTAAACATTTAGAACTATAAGGGCTTCCATATTTCACAGGGGTATTTCTTGTAACAAGACTTCATCTTGGGTACCAACACTTTTGACCTTTTGAGCTTCACATGCATTTGAGAGAACTCAACCCTTGCCATAAAGTGCCATACGGGAGTGGAGCATCAGTGTTTCACAAACACATCTTGTTGATTATGATATTACACTTCCTCAGTGTTCTACAGTCCAGTCCAATACGAAAATTCGTAATATTACAAAAAAACGTAAGATTACGAGAAAGTGTAATATTACAAGTTATCGTTATATAAAACTTATATTACAATTTTTCGTAATGTAGTTAAATTACGAATATGCGTAATATTGCATTTCTATATTACGATTTATATCCAAAAAATTCAAGCATTGCAAGAAATTAATTGGTGGGTAACAAAGTATAACGTCAGTAATATATCAGATTTCACGGCTACTCATAGCATGCGGTTAGTTTGGTCAGTCACGCCTATCAGAAAGCATGGACATTCAAGAAGAAAGTACCGCCAGCGATGGATGAGTGGACAATTTCTTTTATTATTCTTTTATAGGAATTTTCCAAGGATAAGACCAATTTTCCAGTAAATTTCAATATTCGCTTAAGCATGTCGGATTGGTCTATATCACCCGTACTCCCTACTTTTCTTGCGAAGTCTACCCTAAAAATCACACCCTCGTTCATAATTCAACTTTTTTCTTATTGAAATACACAGAATTCAAATATATCGTACAAGTTATCGCCCGTGACATCTCGTATTAAACGTCATTCTTTGCTGCCACTCAATTTCTTGCAATGCTTGAATTTGTCTTGGATTACGAAAACTCGTAATATAGTCTCTTACATCTGCAATATTACGCATATTCATAATTTAACTACATTACGAAAAATTGTAATACAAGTTTTATATTACGATAACTTGTAATATTAGTTCACTATAATTTGGTTTTTTTAATATTTTTTCTTGCTTACAGTTGTACGATTATGATGTCAAAATAAAATCTTTTGACCCCCTTCTGTGTTAATGTGGTTTTGAATGCAATAGATTTCCATTCAATTTATAATATGCAAAAAAGGTGTGATGTAAATATTTTGTAATAACTGCTACCATAGAATATTCACTTGTAAAACTTGAAGGAAAATGTCTTATTGGGAATTCACTGTAGATAGTAAAAGGAATTTGTTATAATATATTAGCTAAAATGAATTTTGGATATAGCGAATTAAATTCACAGATCCCAAGGAATTTGCTCTAACTGAGATTTACTGTAGATCAAGGGTGATCACCATATTTGCATTTTAAGATAGTTCACATTGATAATAAAGTATCTGAATAGCTAAAAGAAAATGATATACTTAATTCATAATGAATAAGATCACTATAATTTGGCTTATTCATTTTTTCTGCTTACAGTTGTTCACTGAAGACTGAGTGTACAAATGCCAGCTTTTGGTTACCATCGGTGAAGAAGCAGTGTTTAGATCTTCGTTTTAATGGTAACTTATTGAAAATGGCCATTGATCTGGATTCTAATTCGGTAATTTTTTTTGAGAGAAACAGTCTACTGTTCTTTTGAGGGTTGTCCCAAAAAGACAGAGATAGAGTTAACAATGCAGTTTCAGACCTTGCAAGGTTAGGCCAATTTTTAACTCGATCACCTCAATGAGCTTATGACAGTTGTGATACCCCCAGAGTGGGTTTGATCTGATGATCCGCGCCTGTCAACGAGGCATATTCAGAATGATATTTTTAATATATAAATATACCTGTGGCAAAATATAGCAAAATAAACCTTTAGAGATCAATTGCATAACATTTATCCATAAAACAAAGCATAATAACAAGGGACTTATTAATGAAAAAAATAACGTCATGTTTCTCTTTCTCTCTCTCTCTCTCTCTCTCAGAGAGTGGTGATATGGATTGAAAATTGGTGATGATAAAATGCACATTGTTTAGCTGATTCAACAGTAAAATTGGTTGATACACATTAGGTATATAATAAATTAAGGGAAATTTAATAAATGATAATCTTGCAATATTTGGTAAGTATTTGTAGAATGTTTCCCAGTTATAAACATCATCTACGCCTTCTTTGGGACAACCGTCGTGTGTTAATCATTTGTTTTGATGAGTTAGTCATCTTAGATGTCTTGTCAATTTTGTTAAATGTACATGTAAAAGGTGTTCATTAAGTTTAACATTTTTTTTTTCTTGCAGAAAAGTAACTTTTCAGTCAAATTTGTTCCCAAAATTGAAGTTTTGTCAGGCATGAGCTGCATGCTAGGTGGACAGTTATTGAGAAGATATGTTGGAACTGAGGATATCAAGTGTGAGATTAATCTGAGTCCCTCAAGACGTGATAATGGAGAATCTGTTTCATGTAAGTTATTTCAACTAGGAGCTACAGTCCCAGTCTCTCTATGGAAAGAAATTCTGGCTTCTACTACCAAATTAAATGATTGAACAGTTTTACATAATTAAGAAAGTTATTTATGACTATAAAAGTAAGCCCAAAACAAATGTTATGGACTACTTACTTTATTTTCCTAATATTTTCCCTGATACAAGCTAGTATTTAGGGAAACAGTAACAATATGTCCATATAATTTCTTTCTCATACTGATTTGTATTTTATTTATTTATTTTTTTTTTTTTTTGCAACAATGCAGGTAAGAGGATTTAAAATGGCTAAAATATTTTAAGTGAAAATCTCTTGATCTTGAATTTCGTTTTTTTTTTTTTTTTTTTTTTTTAAATTAAACTATATTTGGCTCAGTTGAGAAAAGTGAATTTTTATCTTTTCAAATAAGTGCTTCAGGACATTTTTATAAAAGGTGAAGAATTAGCCATTAATAAACAAAACTTATAAAGATGATTTTTTTATTTAAAAAAATGTTTGGACAAATTGAAATTTAGATCATACTCCGTTTTTGCCCCCATCTTAAATTTGCCCACAGGCAATTACTAGTAGAATCACCCCGAGGAAATAAAAGGGGGGGGTCCTTGTAGTTGCCACTGACCCCTTTTTATCTCACCTCGACATGGCGTGGCTTCCTGGTTAAAGGACATTTCCAAGTAACTATAAGCCCTACCTGAACCAAACTTATATGGATGATGCATCTTGGGATGGACACTACTACACATGCTTTGGATGCTGGATCTGACCTACATTTTCCAGATAATTGACCCTGGCAATGTTTTTAGAGTAACTCTATAATTTTATGGCCTGTTATGATTTAACTTGCATTGTTGAGGCATCTAAGGTCTAAGGATGGACAATTCCAGACTTGCTTTGGATGTAGGAAATAAAAAACATTTTCTTGATTAGTGAACAGGTTAAAGTTTTTTGAACAGGTTAATTCCAAATGAACTATAAGACCTTCTTAAACAGAACTTGCATGGATATTGTTGTCAGGATGCACACTAGCTTTTAAGAAAATATGATGTGAGGTTTGCATTACTTTTATTGATGACATTTGTCAAGGTGAGCTTAGTAATTTTTGACTACCTATGTTTTACAATTTGATAAGACAGATAATTAGAGTTGAAATCCCCAAAGCTCTTTCAAGGGGAGATAATTAAGAAGTTACAACTTGATGGATTCTTCTAAAAACTTTCTTCTCAAGAACAAAATAAAGCAAGTTTTTGAAACCATGCATTTTAAAGGTACTGTAGAAGTACTTTTTTCCGTGCGATATTAATTTACGCAATGTAAGCGGTCACAAATTTTCCACAGAAATTTGACCAAGCGTTCTTAATATAAATGTAAGGCTTATAGTGACAATCTAGAAAATCCACGTAATTTTCTACCCGCGGATTAAACAGAAATTGAGATTCCGCGGAATTATGACCCCATGGAAAGAAGTATGTCTACAGTATGTTCAAATCGTTAAAGATTAAAGCCATATTGGTTAGTCATATTTATATGTGTAGAATCATCCTCATTTAGAGTATATTTAACCAACTGGGTGGAGGACAAAAAATATGAGATCAAAGTCTTGCATAGAGATAAATTGTGAAAATTTAAATATCTTTGGTTGAAGAACAGCATGCAGGGTCTTAGTTATACTCAAATGAGCATCGTGGTCCATGTGCCTATTGTTTTACATATTTATTTTGTAACTTTGAGTGTTTTATGCAATTTGATGTTTTCTCATTCATGTTTTTCTATTAATAGTTCCAGAAGGAGAGGTGTTACTTAAAATTATCCTGAATAATGTTCCAATTGCAGCAAGGCATGTTTTGTTTTACAAATGTGCTTCATTCTCAAGGTATGATTTCCATTGCTTTGAACCCTTAGATTTACATTTTTAAATGAAGTACAACTTACATGCGGTTACTGTATTCCAACTTTTTTTGGCCTGCAAAAAATACATGTATAATTTATGAGTTTTAAGACCCTCCTCAGATATCTCTTTTTTTTTCTTTTTTTTTTGTTTTTTTTGTTCAGTTTTCAATGTTTGTGGGAAGAATTGATCCTTATAGATTTCATGGGTCGTTGTTATATCTGATTTTACATCCCCCATGAACAATTATTTTGTCAGCATATTTGTTCATTGAATCTTCTGTATATACACGATACACCATTTACCCCCATATATTATGTTCCTTCAGGTACAAACCAAAAAAATTTGCTTATTTATCCAAGAATATTGACCCTCATGAATTTACCTGGCAAATTACCCCACAGTACATGGATTTTTATCTCCTTTGTATTTGGATTAATTAAATGTTGTTGTTGTTGTTTTAATTTAAAATGTTAAAGAATGAGATTTTTTCTAAAAGAATTGTTTTCTTTTTGAAGTTGTGGGAAATGTTTAGAAAATGACGTCACTTCCTGTTATTGGTGTCAAGAAACTGCTAACTGTTCCAGAGCAAGAGGGGATTGTAAATCTATGGTATGTTCTTAAATATAGCATTATATATTTACCCTGAATAACTTAGTATTCCTAAAATGATTTTAATGAAAAAAAATCTTCTTGTTTCTCTCTACAGCCTGGTTCACATAAGGTATGTAACTATTAGTAAGCTTTAGTGACTAATACTTCAAGAAATTGTTATTATTTTATCCCTCCTTTGAAAAGAGGTGATATATAGTGATGGAGGTGTTCATCTTTCTCTCAGAATGCCTGTACATCCATAACAATCTCTTATCTGCAACTCCTTCTATACCACTAAATGAATTTTAATGAGACTCTCACAGAATCCTTTTTACATAACGCCATGTTGTGCACCTCCTATTTTAATTACTTTCAATCAAAGATTCTGTTGTTTCTCATGGCACATAATGTACATTGCCATTTTTTAATAATAATTTTTTTAGAGTATCTATCTCTTATCCACAACTCCTTTACCACTGAATTAAATTTAATGAGACTTTCACTGAATCTTTAAATGCAAATATCTGTTTTTAACAGTGAAGTTTTAACAGTTCCAGTCCAACAGTTTTTGAAACTGTAACACATTATGGCACAATTCATTCTGTGATTGGGTGACAGGTTTTTTTTCCCCAATTTAACATTAAACATTAGATAACAGGAATCATTCAATTTGCCTATTAAATTACAATTTTTGTTGGAGGTTAGGTATTAATAAAAGATGTCAAATTTCTCCAATCACTGTCCAACTAGTACCTGTACTTTGATTCCCATTTTCTACTGTTTTACATTTTTTCAAACCTGTAAATTTTACACCATTCACAAACTTTATATCCCAGTGCATGTTGGATTAGATAGGTGTCATTAAAGAAGTACATGTATATACTACGTTAAGTTTTTCACTGGGAACCAGTGTTCATGGATTTCTTTTGTTTATCCTCTGAAAGACTGTCTGGTTTACATTTTCAACTTTTTTCAGGAAAAGTTACAGGTAGGTAACAAAACACATTCATAATGTTCCTTCAGTGACTTTAGCTAACTGCAATGTACAAATGGGATTTCTGATTGTTAACTGGTATAAAAACTGCACCATTCCAACTATGTCACAAGTCCAACACAGCCATCTCTCAAGTTAACATGTAAGCATACTGCTGAATACTTCTTGCCTGGATCTTGGATATGGTGTATCACCAATGGACCTCTTTAAAACAGCCATTAGTTGGATGAAAATTAATTTTTAGGTCACCTGAGTAACTCAGGTGACCTATTGCTATCCGTTTTCGTCCGTCGTCATGCGTCGTATGTCGTGTGTTAACATTTGAACATTTTCAGCTTCTTCTCTGCAACCACTGAACCAATTTCAACCAAATTTGGTATACAGCATCTATGGGTGAAGGGGAACAAAAATTATGAATTTTATGGTCCCCACTCCCCTTGGGCCTGAGGGGTGGGGCCAAAACCACTAAAATTATTGCAATCTTTAAAAATCTTCTTTACTCCTGGACATCAAGCAGGCAAACTGTTGGCATGAGTGTAATGAGCATTGAGTCCTCTACCAAAATTGTGAAATTCATGGCCCCAGGGCCAGGGGTTCTGGTGTTAGGGCGGGGCTCTATAGATTATATAGTGAAAATGCATTATTTCTTTGAAAATCTTCTTCTCTGCTCCTGGGTATTAAATAAACTAACTAAGCACATAGTTATGATGAGCAAGAGTGCTTCTTCCAGATTTGTGAATTTTCTGGCCCCAGGGTCAGGGGTTCTGGTGTAAGGGCGGGGCTCTTTAGATTATATAGTGAAAATGCAATATTTCTTTGAAAATCTTCTTCTCTGCTCCTGGGTATTAAATAAACTAACTAAGCACATAGTTATGATGAACAAGAGTGCCTCTTCCAGATTTGTGAATTTTCTGGCCCCAAGGTCAGGGGCTCTTGTGTTAGGGTGGGGCTCTATTGATTATATAGTAAAAATACATCAATTCTTTGAAAATATTTTCCTTTGCTTCTGGGTTTTATGCCAATGATCCAAGTATATATATTTATGATGAAGAAAGGTGCATCTAGCAATATGGTTATTTTTTTTATGCACCCCCCCGGGTCGGGCGGGGGGGGGGGGGGTTACATAGTCTGAAAATAAATTAATGCTTTGAAATCTGCTCTTTGGTATTAATCAACCATTTTATGATAAAATTTGCAAAATTTTGAAATATGTGGCCCATGGGTCAGTGGTTCCTTTAGGGTGAGGTGCACAACTGGGTATAAAGTGTAAGTGCATTTTCTCTTTGTTACTCTGATCTACCTCTGGGTATGAAGTAAATAGAGTAAGCATGCTAAGTTCATAATTATGATAAGCAATGGTGCCTCTTTCAAAATTGTAAATTGTGAATTTCATGGCCTCTGGTTTAAAACACAAACCAAATTCAATTGTTTGAAAGTTGTTACACAATACTCAGGTGACCTATAAGGCCCGAGGGCCTCTTGTTAATCTTCTAGCTATTTTCATACAAATTCTGTCATTATACCTTGCAGATTTACTTTAACCAATGGTTTTGTTTAAGATCTGGAATTATACTTTAAACAAGTAAAAAAAGTGAATGGGCTCTTTTTGGAGCAGCCTCATTTCTATGCTGCCATTAAATTGAAATTTCAAAATGATATTCGTGTAGACAAAAGTAATTTAACTATGATTTATTTAAACATCAAAATATTTGCCCTTCCACAAATGAGTAATGTGAATGCCCAGGTATAGTACAATGATTTTATAAACCTAGCTGATTCAATTGATATGTATCTGTTTTTTTCTTGCAACATGTATTACATTAATACACTGAGTCCAATTGTCATGCATTGTTATTGATTTCTTGGTTTTATAATTCATAATCTTGACGATGTACGTGACTTAATGTTTAAAATACAAGCAGGAATTGGGTGTTTGTCGTAATTTTGAAATTTTAAACATTATAAGCATGTGCACAGTGACATTTAAAACATTCATGTAATATCATTTTCAGATCAAAACCCTTTAATATAACTGAACATTGATGCATTAAATGCACCTACTTCCAAATAATTAACATTATAATGATTACACAATCAAAGCATCATCCATATTCATATATAATTTGAAAATGATATATTCATATATAATCACATATCTTTAGATAAAAATGTTTTTCATCATATTTTTAGCTCACCTGAGCCGAAGGCTTAAATGAGCTTTTCTGATCAAAATTTGTCCATTGTTTGTCGTTGTCGTTGTTGTAAACTTTTCACATTTTCATCTTCTTCTCAAAAACCACTGGGCCAATTTCAACCAAACTTGCTACAAAGTATCCTTGGGTAAAGGGGATTCAAGTTTGTTCAAATGAAGGGCCACACCCTTTTCCAAGGGGAGATAAATTAGAGTAAAATTAATGCCATTTTAAAAAAATCTTCTTCTCAAGAAGCACTGGGCCAGGAAAGATGAAACTCCTGTGGAATCATCCTCAGGTAGTGTAGATACAAGTTTGTTCAAATCATGACCCCCGGGGGTAGGGTGGGGCCAAAATGGCCAATCAAAGTTTTAAATAGGAATATGTAAAGAAAAATATTTAAAAATCTTCTTCTAAAGAACCACTAGGCCAGGAAAGATTAAACTCCTGTGGAATCATCCTAAGGTAGTGTAGATTCAAGTTTGTTCAAATCATGACCCCCGGGGGTAGTGTGGGGCCATAGGAAAAATCTTTAAAAATCTTCTTCTCAGGAACCACTGGACCAGGAAAGATAAAACTCCTGTGGAATCATCTTCCGGTAGTGTAGATTCAAATTTATTCGAATCATGACCCCTAGGGGTAGGGTGGGGCCAAAATGGCCGATCAAAGTTAAAAGGAATGTATAGGAAAAATCTTTAAAAATCTTCTCCTCAAGAACCATTGAGACAGGAAAGATGAAACACATGTGAAATTATCCTCAGGTTGTATAGATTCAAGTTTGTTCAAATCATGACCCCCCGGGGTAGGGTTGGGCCATAATGGCTGATAAAAGTTTTACATAGGAATGTATAGGAAAATTCTTTAAAAATCTTCTTCTCAAGAATCACTGGGCCAGGAAAGATGAAACTTATGTGGAATCATCCTAAGGTAGTATAGATTCAAGTTTGTTCAAATCATGACCCCCGGGGGTAGGGTGGGGCAAAAATGGCCAATCAAAGTTTTACATAGGAATATATAGGGAAACCTTTTAAAATCTTCTTTTCAAGTACTTCAAAGCCATGCTTAGTGATATTTACAATGTATATGGAATCATCCTCAGGTAGTGTAGATTTTAGTATGTTCAAATCATGACCCTGGGGGGTTAAAATTCAAGCCCCCCACCTTCAGTAAATTTACAGTTCTGATCTCAGACTGATATGTGCTTTTTCCTAGCCAATTGCTCAGGTGAGCGATGTGGCCCCTGGGCCTCTTGTCAGATCTACTACTGATTTTCCTTTGTAAGAAACTATCATTTTTGAGAGAGAGAGAAAGAGAGAGATAAAATAAACTATAATAATGTTTTACCTGTTTTCAGATCAGTGACTGTCCTCAGATTAACAGCCAAACTGTGAAGATACCATCAGGTCGCACAAGAGACTTAAAATTTGTGGGAAACAACTTATCAGATAATGTAATCAGAAACAGAACAAAGTTAATTTTACAATGTTTAGTTGCATTCATCTGATATAAAAAGTTAATTACATTTGTATAATATGTTATAAAAGTGAACCCTATCCCAAAAGAACAGAATAAAAATCCACAAAATTATAAAAACAACAGAAAATTTCTGATAATTCTAACTCAGGGATTTTCCACACCATTTTGGGAATGGGGCCCAGGCCCTTACTATTGGGAATTTTACGACATTTTACAACTTTTGGGGAAATTTTATAGCAAGATTTTTTTCAATAAATTAACACTTATGATAGGTAACATTGATTTTTTGCTTCATTATTCAGAACTTTACTTCAGAAAATAGATCTATTATGAAAAAGTTTAACCAAGTCTCCAAAAATTATGTTCATTTCATTAAGAGTTCAAAACCAACCCTGTTTGTTTTACATAATTTTTTTCAAAACTTAAACACAGCCTGCTCATTTTTGGGAAAAATGGAGTGATTTTGCAATTGGGAATGGGGCCCATATTCGGCCCTACACGGGATAGTGGAAAATCCCTGTAACTTTTTTTCCCTTTTTTTTAGTTTACATATCAGTGCCTTGTTGATGGAAGGGAATATGTAGGAGAATTTATAAATTCAGGGAAAGAAATTTACAGTGTCTTACAGTGTAAGACTGTCCAGGTAAAGATATTATCTTCTTTTAATCTTGTACATTTGTATTATTAACAATATCAATACAAGTTAGGTAGTTTTGTTAAACAGCATGACAAGGGTGTAATCAGCTGATTGCATGAGGCTGGGATTGCGAACATTTCTAATACATGTAATATGAAAAGTTACATTGTTAAAGGGCTGGTTGGAAATTTTACTGACTTCAGTCATATCGTAACCTTTTACTCAAAGTCATATGATATCCAATGTTGATAGAGTTAGACATGCTTGTAAAAGAATAAATTTGATTTTTTTTCATTTCAAAAAGGAAATTTAAACATATCATGATGCATCTTGATCTTGTTCAACATTTAAAAAATTAAGGAATAGGGTCACAAAGAGGGTCAAAATTCAGTAATTTACAAATAATGCACTTAATAAGGTCTGCAAATATCTCTCAAAAAATGGGGCAAAAATGTAAAACAAGCTTTTTGACAACCCTTTTTTACATTGATTAACAAAAAACACTTCCAATTTGTTAATCTGGGGAAATTAAAGCAGCAATTTACTACCGGTATGGCTAATAAAATTGATACAGCAGCAAGATTACTTTTTTGAAGAAAGTTTCAGAAAAAGAACTTTAATGAAAACACAACATCTTGGAACTCCCCTTTTTATATTGAGCATGTAGGTGATTTTTTTTTATTTAAAGGTTTACATTTGATTTGATTTTTTTTATTTTACAGATTTCTGGCAAAGGAGAGAAAATAGTAAAGTTCAAATATGGTCCATCAAGTGCGACAGTTGATTTAGAGTCTTTCACGGAATCTCCTATTGTTTCTGGTAATTATGAATCTCCTCCACTGGGAGAATTAATAAGACAAGTTTTATGTAGGTCTGTCCATCTGTCTCTGTCACAAAATTGTATTGGGCAGCAAATGAGAACTCTTGATTTTAAATTTACCTTTTCTATGTTTTCAGTGTACAAATGTGAGAGCCTTTCCCCTAACAAACAGGATTGCAGCACCTGTCACTTTCTGAATCAGAGTGAGGGCTACGAGTGTCAGTGGTGCCAGAAAACGGGATGTGTAGACATAGATAACACCAAGTGTTCCTCTCCAGAAACATGCAGTAAACCTGTTGTTACTAAGGTTAATTTTATACTCATGTTTTATAATTAGAGATTTTTTATACTCCTCGCTTGAAAAGTGGAAGGGTATATAGTGATCAGGATGTCTATACGTCTGTCTGCTTGTCTGTCATGCTTTGGGATACCCATCTCTTATCCGCAACTCCTTTTATACCTCTTAATAAAATTTAATGAGACTTTCACAGAATCCTTGTTATATAGTGCTTTGTGCACCTTCTAATTCACTTTTTCACTGGACACATTTTTGGTTTCCCAGAACAAAACATGAGCATGGCCATTTTTTGTATAATTTTGAAGGGTACCCATTTCTTGTCCGCAACTCCTCGTAACACTGTATAAAATTGAATTATACTTTCACACATTCTTTATTACGTAATTCCATTGCGCATCTCCTATTTTACTTTTTGATCTGACACTTATTTCAGGTCTCCCAGTGCAAAACGTGGACTTTGCCATTATAACTGTATGGGAGGGGTGGGGGGGGGGGGAGGGTATCATTTAGTGAGCTTATTGCTCACAGTACCTCTAGTTTTTCACCTTGCAAGGCTCAAGATTTTCTATCAAAATTTGTTTTATGTACGTTGTCGTTGTCGTAGTCGTTGTCGTAGTCGTTGTCGTCGTCGTTGTCGTCGTAAACTTTTCACATTTTCATCTTCTTCTCAAGAACCACTGGGCCAATTTCAACCAAACTTGGCACAAAGTATCCTTGGGTGAAGGGGATAATTTGTTCAAATTGGGTCATTTTCCAAGGGGAGATAATCATGAATTTATTAAAAATTAATGGCATTTAAAAAAAAATCTTCTTTCTTCTCCAGAACCGCTGGGCCAGGAAAGAAAACTCATGTGGAAGCATCCTCAGGTAGTGTGGATTCAAGTTTGTTCAAATCATGACCCCCAAGGGTGGGGCCAAAACTGGCTGACTTAAGTTTTACATAGGAATATATAGGAAAACTCTTTAAAAATCTTTTTATAACCACTGGGCCAGGAAAGATGAAACTCATGTGGAATCATCCTCAGGTAGAGCAGATTAAAGTTTGTTCAAATCATGACCCCCGGGGCAAAGGTGGGGCCAAAATGGCCGACCCAAGTTTTACATAGGAATATATAGGAAAAATCTTTAAAAATCTTCTTCTCCAGTACCACTGGGCCAGGAAAAATGAAACTCATGTGGAATCAGGTACCTCAGGTAGTGTGGATTCAAGTTTGTTCAAATCATGACCCCCGGGGCTAGGGTGGGGCCAAAATGTTTCTCAGTCCCAGGTTTTACATAGGAAATATAGGAAAAATCTTTAAAAATCTTCTTCTCCAGAACCACTGGGCCAGGAAAGATGAAACTCATGTGGAATCATCCTCAGGTAGAGCAGATTAAGTTTGTTCACATCAGTTTGGGGCAAAGGTGGGGCCAAAATGGTTGCAAGTTTTACATTTTATATAGGAAAAATCTTTAAAAATCTTCTTCTCCAGTACCACTGGGCACACAAAGATGAAACTCATGTGGAAGCATCCTCAGGTAGTGTGGATTCAAGTTTGTTCAAATATGACCCAAGGGTGGGGCCAAAATGGCCGACTAGTTTTACATAGGAATATATAGGAAACACACCTTTAAAAATCTTCTTCTCCAGAACCACTGGACCAGGAAAGATGAAACTCATGTGGAATCATCCTCAGGTAGTTTAGATTCAAGTTTGTTCAAAACATGACCCCCGGGGCAAGGGTGGGACCAAAATGGCCGACCCAAGTTTTACATAGGAATATATAGGAAAAATCTTTAAAAATCTTCTTCTCCAGAACCACTGGGCCAGGAAAGATGAAACTCATGTGGAATCATCCTCAGGTAGTGTAGATTCAAGTTTGTTCAAATCATGACCCCCGGGGCTAGGGTGGGGCCAAAACTGGTCATAAGTTTTACACAGGGATATATAGGGAAACCTTTTAAAATCTCCTTTTCAAGTACCTCAAAGCTATGATTAGTGATATTTATATTCATCCTCAGGTAGTGTAGATTCTAGTTTGTTCAAATGATGAACGCCTGGAGGGGGGGTGGAGTAAATTCAAGCCTGATGTGCTCAGGTGAGCGCTGTGGCCCCTGGGCCTCTTGTTTTTACTTTGCATTGATTAGTATCAAAACTTAATTTTATAAGCAATGTATTAAAGTACCCACATTGTCATCTTTGTCTGTGCGCATGCACTTGAGGATAATGTTTCTCAATCCCAGGTATACTTTCTTTTTAGTATTTATGAGCTAGTTTTGCCATACTTATACATTTGTGATTTAGCACATCAGTAACTACTGTTTAAGTTTAGGTCTAGGTTTCAGTTTTACATTTCTTACTTTTATGTGTTCAAGGACTAGATCACGTAAGGTTCTGTTGTCTCCTGAAAATCTTGTAGAGTTGTCACCTTATACTAGTATGTCAAACAAACACTCATATGTATACTTATGTGTTTCTGCATGCTGGTAAATATATATCATATATCATTTCCAGTCAAAAACATACTTGATAAGGGAATCTATATAAATCTATTGATTCCATTTATTCAGGTTGATCCATCAGATGGTCCTTTAAAAGGGGGAACTAAGATTGAAATAAATGGATACAACTTTGGTATAAGAAGTTCTGTGAACATCTCTGTGGCTGGAGAACCTTGCAATCAAGTTAAACGTAAAGGAAGAAGGTAAAAACTTTGTCATAATTGTTTCAATTTTACTGAATAACTTGTCATGACAAGTCTTTTTCTTTGATAATTATTCTTTGTAGATTAACTTGCACCACAAGAGAATCAACAGCTGGCACTAAGAGTGGAAAAGTAATCATAACCATTGATGGACAAAGTTCTGTTCAAGATGTCATGTTTACATACAAGGTAAAACAAAGAAAAATTTCGTGAAAAACTTTATTTATATTTATATAACCTTGGAAAAAAATGTGAAAAAATTCTAGAACTTGTTTATTAGTCCCTTCCTGGGGAAACCAGAGTGGACTAAAGGTTTCCCGTTCATCTGTGTATAGTCCTGTCTTACTAGGTTTTCCACTCTCCCCCCCCCCCCCCCCCAATATGCTTGCAGATTATGAGCTGATGATATTGTAACATAAAATGTATTGTTAGATGTACATGCAGTCAAATTTTTTTTCGACTCAATTGATTTTTGTTAATGCATTTTCAACATGCACTTGGACATAATTGACTATAATAATAATAATATAACACTTAAAATTTTGAATGCTTTTTGTTCAAAACTAAAATCAAGATTCAAACTAATTTGACCATTCTGATCAATTGGAACTACACTAAGCATATTCAAAATGTAATTTTAAGCTCTCCTGCATACATCGTTGCACTCTGATATTTACTGCATGAAACTGATATTGATTTTCTTTTTCAAGACAAAATACATGCAAATGCTAAGATACACTTTTTCTGATCACATAATTTTTAACCCTACCCGGTAAATATTTATGATCTTAATCAAGAATGATGCAATATAATGAATTTTTGCAAGCAGTTTTATAAGACAAACTCCGATTTATTTATTCTGCAACAAATACAGCACCCAGTTTTTTATGTTGCAGAGTAATCATGGTTTAAAATCTACAGGCAAAGCTTATCCATATTCATTTTACTTCCTACACTTTATATGCATTGCATAAATTTGTTCTAGGAGGTGACAGTGCATGGCTCAGAAATTATCAAAAAGGTAAATTCCTTCTTGTACATGTTCAAACACACACACACACATTCTTACAATGAACCTCTCCATTTTTATAGAAACCAGAAATAACAGGGATAACCCCAAATCGAACAATCAAGTCAGGTGGGAGAACAATCATTTTAACGGGAACTGATCTCAATATTGGTAACAGGAATTACAAAGTTGAGATGATTTCTTCAGGCCCTAATGAGAAAAAGGAAAGTAAATGCATAATGTAAGTATTATAAAACTGTAGAATTGAACTAGAAACTTCTGTTAAAATGATGTTCTACTTAAGATTAAGTGTGAACTTGTCAGAATGGTATCTTACTTGATATATGAAGATGAACAATAGTTGATAACACAATACAAACTGTGAGCAGAGCGAGGTTCCATGGGGAAAAAATATACTCCATGTCCAGTCTACCATGTTAAAAAAAATTTACTGCTTTTTAGAATTGTATCCAAATCAGTGGATGGAAAAATAGCATGCAAGCCTTCTAAAGCAGAGAAATTAGGACTATATACTTTAAAGGTGACCTTTGACATCAACACCAAGATAGATGTCAGAAATATGAAGTTCGAATATCTAAAGGACCCCAACATTACTGGATTTGATCCAACAGATCTCAAGTCCATCAACAGGTAAAGTTCACGTGAATTAAGTATTAATAATAGACAGTAAAGCTTGTTTAAGACAAACAGAGAAAAAATGACTATATGAATATAACAGTCTTTTGAGATCCCTGACAAAATTATTATTAAAAATAAGAATTCCTTATAGAGTTTATTTACTTATTACAAACACAGATACATGTATAGAAAATTTATAGATATAGGGAATTGATTTCTCTGTCCTGAAGACATGAAAAATAATAAAAAAAATACTTTTTACTTCTCAAAATTGAGTGTTGATAAGTTCCTTTCTTATATTTAGATACACTGTATTAGTCTACATTATACACTAATTAGTATGTACATGCTCATAGCAAAGTCATGCTTGCTCAAAATATACATGAACTTAAAGAAAAACCCATGGAAAATTTTGATACCAAGTCTTTCAAAGTTGTCAGATGTGTGTTACAATGTCCAAAGTTGAACTACCAGTAAAAAATAAATTGCTTGATTTAAAAAAAATAGAATATTTTGAGTTACAATTATCACAAAATCCAATACAAGAAAGCAGAAACTTGACAGTATTTGTAAAATTAAAGGTTTCTTTTTCCCAGTGGAGGAACCCCATTTTTTGTGATTGGAAAAGGCTTTGAGGATGTGATAGAGAATGTGTATGTTGGCAGACAGGACGTCGACAGTACAGTAAGTTTTCGTACCCTCATGTGTAATTATACCCCTGCACAACAAGTTGCATGAGCTGTAATGTTTGTGACCTATCCACACCGTATACAACGGGTAACGTGGGGGAGTCGCTTAAAAGTATAGAAGTCGTTTTCAACGTATGAAGATATATAGGGCACAGCTTCGGTGTATTTTTCCAAGAGATGTGGGTCACGTCTTTTTTTCCCGGGAAATTTCAGATGTATCACAAAACAAATAGCCCACGGAATATAGCAATAGTTAAGCATTTGTCTTGGTCATTTATTCCACTCAAGAATATATCAAACTTTTTTCTCAAACACTTTGAAACTATTCGACAGATTTCATATTTACGTTGATCGAGTGGTTAAAAACTGTATATTTATTGCACAATCTGTGCGGCTTGTGTAATTATTTCTCCAGTTAAAACTGCAAAAGCAAACGTTTATCTTTAATATGCATCAATTAAAAAGTGTCTAGACTTTATAGAAATTAATAATAAATACATTTTCTCTTCCCCCCAGACTGTAATTGAAATCGTTGAAAATTTCATCTATTTAAAAACACAACGCATGGGGGAGTCGCACAATTGAATACTACTATCATTTGAATTTTCAACTTTTCGTTTGCTAAAGGCTTCCTTACACTTTTTTGATAATATTAGTAAAATGTAACATGCATTAAAAAAATTGCTCAATATATGCAATATGTACAAGTAAAACTTAAATCGTGACATGTATTTATCGTTCCCTATTGTGAAGTACATGAGCATGCATATACCAGTACTTCATATACTTTACTACATGTACTTAAGGAATCACTGCCTAGTTAGGAGAGTTTGCCAGGGCATCAACAACAGTGGGAAACATGGGATAATTTTAGGGATGTCAAATCGGTCAATTTTTAATACTCTGTTAATCGAAAGTTTTACTGATCGAGTACCCGTGTACTCGGTCAAAGTGTAAATAAATAAGAACAAGTAAATTGATGAATGTAAAACATTGTAAAGTCTAAGACTTGTAGAAATAAAACCACATGCTCTGATAGGAGGTTTACCCGTAAATGCATAACAATGATGAGCACTTCGTGCCCGATGAAATTTTATACAAAACTTTTTAAAGTTCAATTTATTTATCATATAAACACAAGAAATAAAATCTTAAGTTGTTCATGGTGATTTTGTTTCAAAAAAAAAATCTGCTCCGTAATTGTAATGTTAGTCTGTGTTGCGTTTGACGTCCAGGTATCAGTCGTACAGTTTGACTTGAACTTGACGAAGTTCATACCATGAAAATTTACGATTTTCGTATACTTTTTTCGATCCTAGATTTTATAGTATTACGGGACGGTATTTTGTAGTTTGGTGCAGCGATTGATATCAGTTTTTTTAAAGCCTTTGCCTTCGACCATTTGTAAATGTATTGGCATGTAATCAAACACAACCATATCAACAATCGCGCGTGTGATATCATCTGTCTCTTTTCCCAAGAATTTACGGCTTCTCGGAAAACTGACTGACAAAGTTATCTAATTTATTTAATTATAACAGACCTTAAACGATGTTCAGTGAAAACAAATAATTAAAACAAAGCCAAAAATAAGGTTAGAAGACAGCCGAAGGTGAGATAAGCCAGGTAATAGGTGCTTGGTCACGATAATTACTGTATAAACACTGCCATGGGCGATAACGGTCATTTGGAGAAGTAGGAAACCCTAATTACTGTAGGTACAAGTGCAATGAGAATTTTAAGTTTTAAAACAGATTGTTTAATGCATAAATAAAAAGGCTTAGACATATTCAAAAATATATATCCGAGTAACCGAGTACCGATTTTAGTATTCAATACTCGGACGTTCGATCAAGTACCCGGTTAACCGGGTACTCGTTGACACCCCTAGATAATTTGCATAATGGGCGAAGCCCGTTATGCTAAAATTATCCCATTTTTCCCACTATTGTTGATGTCCCTGGCATACTCTCCTAACTAGACTGTGATTTCTTATATTTTCATTTCATTGTGAAATAAAATGGTAGATTTGGACTTTAAAAAATACACTAATATATATTTAAATTACATGAGGACTTCCATGCCAATTTCAATAGTCCTCATTCAATGACGTCAAACACCTAGGCAGCCGCACAAGATTTACATGCACATTTTGCCTCCTTAGCGTCAGACACAGAGACAGATGCGCACAAGATTTGCATGCATTTTAGGCCTCCTTAGCTCCTGACCTATCGACCTGCCTAATTAACATTCCGGCAGAATTATCAAGGAATAAACTCCGAGAAATTTCAAAGAGTTATCGCAGAGAAAAAAATTAGAAATGGAAATATATTGATATAGTTTCTGCACGGATAAGCAGTGGCATATTTCAAAAATTTCAGCACTTTAAATTAAATACATGTACCGTTAGGCAGTTAATGTCGAAGAAAAAACTATAAATATGGAAAAGAGGGTGGAGGTTAGGAAAGGGGACTTTAGCTTCGCCACTTTCCTTCAAACATAACATAAATAAATTCTTCTAAAGAATATATTTTGGAATGAGGACATGATATTTAAATATTTTATAGCTCTTAATATCATTAGAGCTTCAGACTTTGCCCTTACCCGGAATAAAAATTTCACGAAACAGGCACGTAGTATGAAGAACCTTCTGGACAACGTTTTGGTGCAGAATAGTTATATTTCCTAATGTATAAATAAAATTGTAACCTCATTCTACAAACCATTTTTTTTTCTTGTTAAAAATTTTCAGGTAAGTTGTTTATAATTCTTTATTTTTTTGTCATTCTTTTGACAAATTGTTGTTGTAAAAAAAAATTGCTAAAAGGAGGGGGTCATATTCTGAGGAACTGTATATACATGTACCTGCGAAAAGTTAAGGGAGGGTATCAAATAATTAAATGTATACAGTGGAGAGGCTGTCAATGATGGAAGTGAGGGTTTGTATTCTTTTTGAATTTTTGAGATGTAAGAAAAATACATATTAGGAGGGGGGGGGGGTGTCTTGTTCCCTAGCATATGTGCTCCGAAGATATATAATCTAATTGAACATGTATATTGCTGCTTTTTTTTAGAACCTATAAAGCCACAGAAAACAATCCCTTGTCAAAACTTCAAATTATAAAAGAATTAACCAAACATCGATTTCTAGATATCTTTGAATAAATATAAAATATATTGGCAGTTTTTGCATTAGACTTTATTTTGCAACTCCCCCATACTTTGTGTTTTTTTCAGACACGACTCCCCCTTACGTTACCATTACAGTCTGAAGAGAAAATGTATTTATTATTAATTTCTATAAAGTCTAGACACTTTTTAATTGTTGCATATTAAAGATGAACGTTTGCTTTTGCAGTTTTAACTGTCGGAATCCCTACACAAGCCGTAGATTGTGCAAATCGTGCACATTTTAACCACTCGATCAACGTAAATATGAAATCTGTCGAATAGTTTCAAAGTGTTTGAGAAAACTAGACGTATATGCTTGACGAATAAATGACCAAGACAAAGCTTAACTATTGCTACCTTCCGTGGGCTATTTGTTTTGTGTAAATACATCTTATAAATACCGAAAAAAGTGTGACCCACATCTCTTCTGACTCCGAAGCGGTGAAAATCTACTCCCCCATACGTTGAAAACGACTCCCCCATACTTTTAAGCGACTCCCCCGCGTTACCCGTTGTATACGGTGTGGATAGGTCACAAACATTACAGCTCATGCAACTTGTTGTGCAGGGGTATAATTACACATGAGGGTACGAAAACTTACTGTTTTGTATTCCTTTATTTTCCCGGGAAATTTCAGCAAGTATCAATTTAAATTTTTTTGGCCATATTTTGAATATAAAGGGTGTATAGAAAGTTCGTTCCACATTTTTCTTTTATTATTAAAAAGAAGGTTTGATTATGAAAACTCAGTAGACATTTTTATTATCCTACACTTTGTATTTGACACTTGTCAGGAGGAGGATGAGCGCTCTGCCTGTAGAATTCTCAACCCAAAGAGGCTTAAATGCAAGTTCCCAGCAATCGGAGAAGCCAACAACCGTCGCAAAAAACGAGCCACCAGCGCAGCCATCGTCATTCATCTTGACGGGTTTACTCATCCCATTCCTAATGTTGTGTATGTGGATGACCCTTTTTTCATGGCTTTTTACAACAATGCAACATACACCTTTGATCCTAGTGAACAGGAAGCCATTAGAATAGTGGTAAGGGCTCCTTTGTTTAAATTAAATTAAAATTAAAAATTAAATTAATGCTCATGGTGGACCAATATTTGTGGGTCCCCCTTATTTATGAATTTATATCCCCATGAACAGTTACTTTGTTAACATATTTATTCATTAAATATTCTGTATATATATACAACTTACCCTATACAATTGAACTTGTGAATATTAACGTGATAGTGTATATTCACTTCAGAGCTGGTGATTAATAGTGAAGATTAACTCGCAGAATTTTTGTTTATTCTGCTTGATTTTATTTTCAGGGAAGAGACCTTGCCACAGTAGCAAAAAAGGAAGACTATTTAGTTTTAGTTGGGTCTGGTGAATGTGCTGTCACAAGCTTGAATGCTACAGAACTTATTTGTCGACCACCTGCCAAGGAGCCATCCCCAAGGCTGGCCGAGGACAAACTCTATCTTAGGGTAGGTCAAGCTCTTTTATATGGAAGGACAACCTCTATAAATTATTAGGGCAGGTCAAGCTGTATATTAGGAACATTTTGAAAGTTATTTGATATTATATTCTCAGGTACATGTTGGGAATGCAAGACAAATTGTGGGAATCATAGAGTATGCCAATGAGTTTCAAATTACAATAATCATTATCGTAGTCCTGGTAGTGATATTGGTGGCGTTTTCCATCGGAGCTGTCCTGGGAGTTAGAAGAGTGAGAACCCGCAATCAGTTAAAAATAGCACAGATCATGACAGAGATGCAGGATCTGGAACAGAATACAATGCGCATGCATCAAGAAGGTATGTAGAGTCATCAGTGTACATGGTAGATCTTTTCATGGTCTATTCATTTAAGTTCAAGCAGAAAAAGAATTTATTGTACAATAGTATGTCTTTTGAAACTTAAAGATGAAACACTGGTTGTAATTAATAGGCATATGCCATTTTTGATATTAAGGCCATATAAAACTGAAATCTTGGTTCTCAGGCCCGCGCGCATCCGTTTTGAGGTAGCCGCATTGCCGATTTTTTTGTATTTTTGATAAAATAAAAAGTTGGTATTGCGGATAAACCCTTGGCCTACGGTGTTCAAAAAATTCCGACCTCATTTGTTTCATAGTTTAGTATTCAAATATCACACCGGTAGCCATTTACAATGAGATTTTGGCTACTTCGTAAATGAAAATACATTCGAGGATATTACCTACGATGTTTACACGCTGTTAATGAATGGATAAAGCAGAAATTTTGACCAGAAATGGAAAGTATATCTGTGATTAAAAAAATTATCATAATGTTAAAGAAAATTCGGAAATTAAAATTTAAAAAAGTAAATAAACATTATTTTATTGCCAATAAAATGAAAAAACTTTAATTTAATCTGTTTTGGAGAAAATTGGCCTGAGAGCCAAAGAATTAAATTTTGATAGCCTAATATCTACGATATCTGCACCAGAGTATACACTTCACATTCATCATACCAGACTGCTTTATTGTCACGGGTATCAGAGTGGAATGGCAACCCGTGTTCGTGCTGGTTATTTTGCATTTCCTTTGTTTACATTTTATTGCAGTTATGTGTATTTGTGTTTGTATACTGCACCTACATGTACTTGTGCAATTGTATGGCAGACAAACTCCTTTTACACATCGTGTTCAACTTTAATGACTATTTTTGACTCTGTGACAATAATTTACTAAAACACAGCCATGCTGATTATTGTGCACCTATGATAGTTTGCACCTGAGTACTCATTTAGAATGTACATCTTTTTATTTCCAGAATTCGCAGAGATGCAGTTGAACATTACAGATATAAAGCGTGACCTAGTTTCTACAGGAATTCCCTACCACACTTTCCAGAATTATGCTCAGTATATTTTGTTTCCCAAGGAAGTGGAGTCTGGCAGTCTTATAGGTCTCCTACAACACAGTGGGGTAATTATTAAATTTTCTGAAATCTGAAATAATTTTCTTGTGTACATTGCAAAATCTTAAAAACCATGAAAAACGTCTCATCATGTGTAAAACAAATTGCCCCATCAGTTTCAAAAGTTTTAAAATGTTTTGGCTTGATCTGTTCAACTTTTTGTATGTCAACTTTTGTGATTGATATGAATTCTTTGATTTTTTTTTCTACATTGATTTTTTTTCTCTGCAAACAAATATGCTATAAACTTTTGTGTGTGACCATTGTCTTGTAAAAGGCGCTAATTTTGGGCCTCGTGTCCTCGCAGCATCATCTCATCAATCTTCAGTGATGCTTGTTTTGCCTGTGTATGATTTGGTCTGTATTTTGTAGTATACCAGTACCAGTGTACAGAAGGCCATGGATCAGTTTGAGAAGCTGATGTCTAATAAGTACTTTGTCAAGTCACTGATTGGCACATTGGAGAAACAAAGAAAGATAACCCTTATTGACAAGTAGGTTGCTGTTGTAATTCAATCCATTCTATGTTTAGCCAATATAAGTTTTAAACACAGCACAAGTTTTTAGAATCCTTCATCTATGTTGTTCTCAATTCTTTTTCTTAAGAATTGAGCTTAAATGTATACCTGTGTGTTTGATGGAAACTGCTTTTTATCTCACAGGGCTCAGTTTTCTGCCAACTTTAGTGTTGTTATGATGGGGAAGATGAGAGATTTCTTTGAGTGAGTGGACCATTTTCTTATTTATAAACTCATGAATTATTCTTAAATGTTGAACATCTTCTCATCTTTGTGTAAAACAAAACTTGATGTCAGCATGGCACTTCTTTTTCAGAATTGTTAACTGTTTACTGTCAACATTGGTGGATGCTTCAAATAAAAAACAACATAAGACCTTGTTTAATAGGTAACTAACCATGTCTCCCTTTGTAAGTAGAATTAAATCATCTGGAAGTCTTTTAAAATTCATTTAGTCTTTAGTTAGTGAACCAAATCTTGAGTTGAAATTGACCTAATCCTATAAAGTTAGAATTAACTTATTCTGACTTAAAATTATCAGTGACAATTTAACTTTGAATTATTTGTAACCTTGTACTGTAAACCAATTATTTTTCATGTCATCTTTTATTCACAATTCGTCAGCTTGAAATCCATCCGCGATGAATAATTTTCATGACTGGGGATCATTTTCTACCAATATGAAGCAAAATAAATGTTTCACGTCGATAAATGTTTGCGAATTAAAGTAGGTCGCGACACTCGCGAATATTGCTCGCAAGCAAATAAAAGTTAGTTTACATTTTTTAATCTTAAAACACATTCATTTTCAGATTTGAGTCCATTACTTTGAGATTACTTTCACATTGGCTGTCTATCTCAATCTATCCTTTCTTAAAGGTAAAGATACCATATTACCATTAATACCCACCTGTAAGTTGGAGTTTTGGGAGTTCAGTTTTGTTCCAAGACACTTGGGTCCATCTTAGAATTAAGTTTTAGAAAAAAAGTATATTTTTCTGGGCAATAATATGGAATAACTCCAACAATGATTGTTCACAGAAGATGGGACATATTCATAAGATTTGTTCATGCAAAAAACAAAAACAAAAAAAAACAACAAAAAATAAAAGGTTAAATTGATTTTGAGTACGACATAAACAAGTGCATATGCATAAAGAATTCAATGATTTTTTGTCCATTAAGAATATTGTATATTGATTTTATCATAAAAATGATTCAATTGAATGCTGTCTATATATTTTGGAACGAAAAATTCTATGATATAATGTTAATGTTTAAAACATTCATTTAAAAAAAATTAGTAACTGAATCACTGACTTACAGGAGAGTTAGTATGGTACCTATTATTTGTATGTTAAAATTTTCTTGTATAAAAATTGATTGAATTTAATTCTCATACAATTAAAATGCAAAACTTAAAAGACTTTATGTTTTAATTTACCAAGATTGCTGAAGAAAGTTTTTTTTATAGGAAGGTGGTGGGTCATCCCTGTTTATGCTGTACAAGTCCACGCAAGCTGTGGTTGAAAAACGCCCTGTGGATGAAGTGACCGGGGAGGCCAAAAACACACTGTCCGAGTCCAATTTCCTCAGGGAGAAGATCGACTGCCATGCCCTGGTATGTAGAATTTCTATGTTAGAAATATGTTCTATAGGAATACTTACCTCCATTTCATAAAACAAAATCTGGAAAAGGATGTTTTATCAGTCTTTTTAGAGAGGTATTATTTTATCAGATAGTGATACTCAAAAATTTAATAAATAGGGGGGGGGGGGGGTTAAACTTTAATTTACAGTTAAACATGATGATTACTTCAAAAGAAATAGTTTATAGGCAATACCAAAGACATTTTTTGTGACTCATAACCTTTATTTTTTTCTGTTTTAGAAACTTGAGGTTGACTAGTACTAGAATAGCAATGTAATTTGTACACTTGTGTTTTAGAAACTTGAGATTGACTTAAATGCCAATGGTAACTTGTACACTTGTGAGGTACTGGACTGTGATACAATCAACCAAGTTAAAAGCAAGTGCCTCTACCAAATATACAAGAACAAACCGGCCTCAGAAATGCCAACCATAGACGAAGTGGATTTAGGTATAAAGTACTTTTTAGCTCACCTGAACCAAATGCTGCTGAAATGAACTTATCTAATCAAAGTATATTTGCAGATATGGCTGTATCTGGTTGTTGAAGAACAGATTCACACTAAGCATGGTTATAAGTTCAAACACAAGAAGTTTATCAAAATTTTTCTTACTCCTTCTACAGTTTTGGTCTGATTTCAATATAACTTGGCACACAAGTAGACTACATTAAGATACATAAAATAGAGCATCGGATTTTGATTTCGGTGAACGGTGTGGCCTTGGTTTCTAAAAATAGAAATTTCTATGAAATTCCTTTAAAACGCTACTTCTTTTACAGTTTTGGTCTGATTTCAATATTACTCAGCATACAAGTATACTACACAAAGATACATAAAATAGAGCATTGGATTTTGATTTCGATGAACATGCAGTTTTGACATGGTTACTAAAAATAGAATTTTCTATGAAATTCCTTTAAAACGCTACTCTTTGTACAGATTTGGTCTGGGTTTAAAATAACTTGGCACACAAGTAGACTACACTAAGATACATAAAACTGTGCATCGGTTTCCGATTTTGATGAACGGTGTTGTCATGGTTACTAAAAATAGAATTTTCTGTGAAATTCCTTTAAAACGCTACTCCTTCTACAGTTTTGGTCTGATGGCAATGGCTTCTCTTCTCATCCTTTGTTATATGTACAAACTAATGTGATATTTTTTTATGTAGAATGGCTGGCTGGCAAGAGTGGGCGTCTTACTCTGAGCAACATTGACCAGACAAGTGAGAGAGAAGACGGCATGGTTCGCCTTAACACACTGCAGCACTACAATGTGATGGACGGCAGTCGTATGGCCTTATTGTACAAATTCTCCCCTGATGATGAGGAAGATCCCTATGGTTAGTATAACAAAAATTAGGCAGATTTTTATATTGGTGAAAAGTGACATATTTAGCTCACCTGAGCCAAAGGCTGGAGTAGGATTTTTGAATTTAAAAATGTGTTTGAATATGTTAATATTTTTAAACTTTCCACATTTTTGACCTAATGAATCACTGGCTTTGTTTCTCTCAAACCTGCAACAAAGCATCAATACGTGAAAGGGATTTAAATTCATACAAATGAAGAGCCTTTCTTGGATGCTTTCAAAGCAGAGTACATTTTAAATCATATTCTAACACATGGCCCCAGGGGAAAGAACCAGAATAGAAAAATGAAAGGTTTTAATTAAATTGAATTATGTAAGAAAATTCCTCCTCTGGAGGATGGAGTGAAGGGGGTTGTATTATGATCATAGAGTACCTGAATTGAATTATAAAATTGAGAATTATGTTTTTTTTTATGTCAGAAAACCAACGTTCTCCCTCAGATGTGGACATAGCCATTCCTCCTAATGTTCATCTAATTCAGTCAGTCTCAACAACTGGAAGTCTTGAAAACCTCAGACGGTGGCATTTGGTAAATTATTTATACAATTTCTTTATCTTCTCTTTAGGGTCCTGATCTGCTAGTCCCATTAGTGATCAGTCTGTCTGTTTGATGTCAATTCTGCAAAAAAATTTGTTTTTGCCTTTTGATGCAGGCTCTTTCTCTAGTTTCACAATGCATAAATTTTCCATAACTTAAAAAATGACTTCTTTATTAAGCAAGTTTTTAGTTCAATTTTGGTTTGATTTTTAATTTACCTTTTCACTCATTCCATTCAATAGATTCTGAATCATCTATAAAAAAAGAAAACTTCTTGGTTGCATCATTTTGAACAAATAAATATACTGTATATAGCTACAAAATATTTAAGCCAAAATATTTTTTTTAATAAATAAAAAAGATTTCAACAAAAATAAGAAATATTTGATAGCTTCTTTAATACAAACTATGCAGGTCAAGAATCTGGAAGAGGAAGAGTCACCTGAGAAGCATTTAAAACCCAAAGACATGGTGAAGACCAGCCATATCACAAACCTGATGCATACAAAGGTGGGAAATTCTCTCATTGTCATTTTAGAATACTGGTAAATATTCTCAAATTCCTAATGAATTGAAAATTTTAATTATTATCTCAACCTAGAGGATTTGCTGGTAAGTTACGAACACCATGATACGAATCGAAAGTTTTCATCAGTCAGATTGTTAAAATATATTTATATATATAATGAATTTGAAGTAAAATTTTCTTGAATTGCATTGAAATAAACACTTTTAATTTTTTTCTTTCAAATGATGAAATAATTTGTAAACATGTTACCATTGTTCTAGCTGACTGAAGAATCATTCAACAGTTAATTTACAAACTGCCATCCCCATTTTAAATGTTATTTTTAAAAAAATGTATAAAATTTTCCCATGTATGCAATTATTTTTTATTTCTGTTGTACCATCTGAGATGTTTGATTTTAATATTTTGTATTTTTTTTTCCCTTTTTTACCCCTGTGTTTGGGATTTTCAGCTAGTCTTACAGGACAATATTAAGGAAGTGTTTGACAGTGTACTAAACCATGAGACAGTTCCGTTAGTGGTGCATTACCTATTTGGAGTATTGGAAAATCTGGCTAATAAGAATGGTGTTGAACCAGAAACTTTACTGTGTTGGAAGAGTGAAAGGTAGAATAACACTAGACAATCTCTGAGGGGCTAGAGGTCAGAACAAATTTTTGTGTGGGTATGAAAAAAAGTTTGAAGTCAAATAAAACGTGAACCAATGTGGATCACATTGCCTTTGAAAATGATAGGTGGGTGTCATTATGAGCAGAGTCGGAATTTAGGAGTTTGAATAAGAAACTGAGAAAAAAATCCAAACAACAATTTTATATTTCTTAATGTATTCCTCTGGTCTAAAAGCTTCATGTGATGTACGCTTAGATCCATGTAACCTCTAGGAAAAAAAACTACTTGTTCAAAACAAAACTTGATGTGTATCCCAAATTTCCTACATTGTATATATACATAATGTGTAACTCAAATATTTGGGCTTACTTTTCTTCTGTCTTGTGATAATATTCTGACGAATATGATACGGAAGCAGAAAATAAATTCGCTACTTCAAACCATATACTCCAGTTTGGCAAATGTAAGAAATTGATGATAATCAACCTAATAAAAATTTTATTTGGACATCTTATTTTCATACAATACATATATATATATATATAGAAGTCATACAGATACTAAATAGCCTGCATTTAAAAAATGTAGTTCTATATGCAAGACTGTGTTGTTTGGCGGCTTTGTTTGTGTAAACTGTGTAGTATTTACCTCTATATGATAAAAAAACAAGAGAGAATATAAAACTTCTGTTTTCTGTCATTTACCACACAAAGACTGGTTATGACTTTTGGAGTTAACATATAGGAGACATTTTTAAACATGTATATGGAGTAAATATTTTGGTGATAGGGTACTAACTTTGAAATTTCCATATTAACATCTAACATGTACAGTTCATATAATCATACTAATTATAGAAAATCTCGTACACTATTCATGGCATGTAACTATGTACTCTGTGCAGAATGAGACCTTCTTTGTACCCTTTTTTCTTCTAAGAATTTTGGAGATGTTGAAGAATGATGAAAAATTGAGGCTTGATTATGTTGGTTAATTTGATACTTCAGTTGCGTTAATTTGTCAAACATTTGTAAATGTATATCTGTGTTTGTACTACAAGAACTTGTATCAGTCTTTAAAATCAACAAAAAGTTTCCAAAATCTCTGAAATTCAAATATTAACAAACACTTTTTAACAATTAAATAATTTTGGAGGATTAGTAGTTCATGATCTTTCCATTTATTCTATATTTTGGTTAATTCATAAAGTGGTTATAAGGTAAAGATATGGTAAAAATACATAAGTGGTTATATGGTAGAGATATAAATTAAGTGGTTACAAAAAGAAAATTAACCGCAATACAATAATGTAGAATGGCTCATAAGAATGTGGTGTGTGGATTAGAGAGTTTCTCTAGTGTATGTTTGGATGATCATCACTCTCTTGTAAAGCATGCTTCACTGCTAGGCTTAGTAGTCAGTTTTCTCTGATATATTCAAATATGGAATGCCACCACTGTGATTGGTTGCCATGGCTGTGTTGCCATGGAGACACTGGCTGTTTCTGTTACCTCCCCCTGTCTGGATGTCTGTTTTGTTGCTGGATTGTGTAGCAATGTTTGTGCCACAAGGGAAGTATATAACGTAGTAGTAAAGTGTGACAATATTATGGTTGAAACTTAATTCAAAATGATAATTTTCAATGGATCTTGCACTTATTTTTACATGGTTATTTTATTTTAAGTTTTTGTCATTAAAGTTATGAATAATGAAATTCAATAAAAGTTTCCCTTTAATTCATTGATAAAGAAATCAAGGATTGGTAAGGAAAAAGGGCTTTCAAAAAAGGTTTGGAATGTGAGAACTTTTACAGAAAAATGATATACCATGTAGGTACAATTTAATTAGAATTTCATCACATTTCTCTTCACTGAATATTATTTGACCAGATTTCAGCTGGGTAAAAGTACAATGTACCAGCAAATTTTGAAAGCCCTGTTGAAGGAGTAATAATTTTGTATGTATAAAATTCAGTCTTTAAATATATTTTTATAATGAATTTGAAATAACCAGTCATCCAACTTTGAAGTTAACCATCATGTTTGTGTGTCCTCAACAGTAAATGTAATTTCAAAAATGATTGCCTATAATACATTTGAAAAAAAAATCCTTTTCTTTGTAATGAAATTTTTTTAGAAACATCAGCTAAGTTTATAAGTACTCAATAAAGCATGATATTTACTGCATGACTTTCAACAAATGATATATTTTGCATGGCTACATGTATTTATACTGTACAAGCAGATTTTGTGCCTCGTTTTTCTTTGTGCAGATCTGTACTGCAATATGAAATGCAATTATCTTTTTCATTTAATCTAAAGGATTTTTAGAAGAGTTTTGATTTTTTATTTAAAATTTCTTGGTAATGGAAGCACTACATTTATCAAATTCAAACTTCTTCATTGCTTTAACCACAGCCAAATCAATTGTTTGATGTTACACAGAGAGTGTATTTAGAAATGGAAACAGCTAGCACACAGTGGGGAAATAATAAAACTTAATTTACTATCTTGGACATCACAATTAATACATTTTCAAAAATTTATATAGCTGCTCACTATAGCTAAAAGTTTTTATATGATTTTGCACAATATTGAATATAGTACTGCTACACTTTGATTTTAAAGTGAAAGTGATATAATGATTTAAAATTCATTTAATGATGACACACTCTTATACTGAGTCTTGGACCTTTATTTAATAGCAAAAAATGGGCATGGGTGTTAAGCATATAACATTTATTATAAATGCTGGAAATGTATACTTGAGTTAGTTGCTTGCATGTATGTAGGAAAATTATGACTTTTTAGTTTTTGGATGAATTTTAAGAAAAAAAAAACCAAATTCTTGCAATTTTTGTGGTGGCTTGAAACAAATTACCTGTCTTAAGTGTAATTTCAATACCTCAAAGACAGAGATCTGATTCATTGATAATTTTTTAAAAAAAAAACATATAGCAAAGAATGGCTTGCTTGATTGTATTTTTTTCATAGCTAACATTTTTAGCCAAATGCTCAAATGAGTAGTTTCTGATTAAAGGGAGTCCAGATCATGTCTGTTGGGTAAAATCTGTAATTCCCCCCCCTCCCTATTTTTATCCTCATCTCCAAAACCACATTTCAAATTTTAACCAAACTTGCAATTGCCACAAGGTATCTTTGGGTGAAGAGAAGAAATTTTTTTTCAAATGAAGATAAAATGTTGGTACAAAGCTTTTTTATGACCTGATGATGTTTCAAAGATTCAAGGTCATTCTGAGGTAGAAAATTTATTAATAAATATGTGCCCTTCTTCCTAATTAATAAAAATTGGGTGTTCATATCTCACACATAAATTGTTTAATGCTGTGAAGATGGGATACAATCTTGATTCCGGGTCAAGTTCTAGGCCCTTGTTTGAAAAATGTTTAATTAATATCTGTCCTTGCCATATCTTATTTAGAGAACATAAAATGTCCAATTTATCATGAAAAACTGGGGCCTTGACCTAAGAGGGTAAAAAGAAATTAATACTCTGTAAATATGATACAAAATTACATAAGACATGGGTGGGTCATGATCCTGACCCAAGTTCATATGGGCAAGTTCAAGGTCACTAGCATAAAAAGTATTAAGAATATAAATCCAAAAATTAATATTTAATTTGAAATGCATCTAAATGAAGCTTGAAAATGATTTTGGAAGTCTTAGAAAAGGTCTTATAAAAATTTACATTTGTATCCTATAAAAGGAAAAAATAATACAGTTTTAGAGAAATATGATTTTCTTGAATCCAGCCTTAGATACCAATGCTTATGAGCATAACATGAAATAAGAAGTGATTTATGGTGTCTTGCAATGATAGCAATAGCCTTTTACACTATGTATTATAGAATATATGTTAGAAATAGAAGACAAATATACCAAATAAGTATAAAAATCATGACAATTTCTCTGAATGCCTGGATATCTATCGTTTTATAACCTAAAATATATTTGTTGATCCATTTGTAATCAGAAAATGCTTTGCTGATATTCCAATCCGCTTTTTCTGCAAAAATATTGGAGATTTGACAATTTTCCCTATATAATATGATTAAGTTTAATCTTTAGCTTCAAAGAAATACTGTGGATAAATGTACTTAACTTTGTGGATTCAGGGATACTTTTATGAGTATTTTTTATTTCTTAACTGGTAATTTTATAAACCTGAGAATCGGATTACTTTAAATGCCTTTTCCAAAAAAAAAAAAAAAAAAATTAAATTCAAAGACATTCCAAAGAATATGAAAGTCTACAAATTTAAAACCTCAATCTTTATAAATTAAAATAGTACAAGGCATGAATTTTTATTTTGGAGATGTTAATACATGTCAATTTATCGGTTAGAGAATATTGAGTCAGCTAGGTGAGCATTGTGACCCTTGAGTTTTTTTTTTACCAGTGCATAAATTCTCACCAAATTACATATTCCAAAACCTATAGAATTAAGCCCCATATACATACATATTAAAAAACAGTAGAATGTTTCTAGTTTTTGAAAGCAAATTTCCCACTCCTTGGAATTGGAAATCCTTCCCAAAATATTCTGAATTATATTTTCCATTTGAATTTAAGATATATAAATTGCTTCTTGCCTTTTATAATTATTTATTCTTTTAATTAAAAATATTTTTTTTATTTGCTTTAAATCTACAATTATAGTTACACATCCTAGAGAGTAAACCACTCATAAAATTTGGAGAACAGATTACTATATTTCTAATACATATTAAATGCTTTGGTATTACAATGCCACCTGGAGCATTGCTTTAGAGAGGTAATGTACTGTAACCTCTATTTTATCACCTAGCTACGCCATGAGGGTGTGGGCCACGCTGCTAGTCCGTCCGGAGTTTCTGTTTGACATTCAGAAAGTCAAGCATGTGGAGCCATGTCTGGATGTTATCAAGCAGGTCTTCATCGACTGTTTCCATTCCACCAAGATCAGCAAGGTCAGACAAGCATTTTGGTATTTGTTTTTTATGCACATGCTTTGTTTAAACTTGGTATCTGTGTTTCTGAAATCTGGATATGGTGGAAAAATTTATCAATCTTTTTTGATTTGTTTCAGATTTAATTTGGGAGAAAATTTTCTTTTTATACAGATAAACTATCAAGGTTCACTTTCACTTTCATTTTGACACTACCTATTGAAAATATAATATTGATATGATTATATTGTTCAGGATTCCTCCCTACAAAAGCTGCTGTTTGCCCAGGAAGTTCCACATTACCAGAAGAGAACGGAACAGTTTTACAAGGCTCTGGCTAACAAGGCTGCTGTAACAGATGCGGATTTCTGGAACGAAATGTCCAGACTTAATACAGTCAGTAGAAATTTATTCTGCCCCATTACTGTAAACACCTCTGCTTGCTATCATTTAATTGCATTTTTTTCATACCCTATTTTTTCTAACATGCAGTTGAACTTAAGAGTCTCAAACTCTGCAGCCATTGAGTTTGAGATAATGAGGTTTGACATACAAGTCCAAAGATTTATTAATGTAGGAATTCTTTTGATTCTGAAATTTGTCTTTGTGTTTCGTTTTATTTATCTCTAAGCCGTTGTTGTTAATTTTTTGGCTTTTAAGCTTGAACACCTATGATGACTCCTCTTTTATTCACAGTTACAGCAGGAACATCTGAAGTTCTCTAAACCCGCCGCTCTACAGAAGCTGTACAAGTTTGTTCAGCAATACATGGAGGAGGTGCGTTTGTAGTCTAGACTTCTTATCTACTGTAAATCACTTTTTATTCGCGAGAACTTTATTTTCGCGTAATTACGCGAGACAGTGTGCTCGCGAAATTTTAATTCTCGCGTATAATAGTATTTCTTAAGATTATATACAGCAATAACCACAATTCGTGAAAATTTTGTCTCGCTAATCAAGAGTCAATGACTATCTCGCGAAAATAAGGTGTCGCGAAAATTTAGTGATCTACAGTATGATTAAATGTATTTATACATCTATAAACAACATAGCTGTAAATCAACTACTGTATATCCGTGTCATCTTTTATTTTAGATTAATTTTCATGACTGAGGAAACATCCTCTTCAATTACAAATCAAAAATCAATATTTCATGGCAATCAATTAATATTCATGAATCAAAATAAGTAGCAAAACTGGCAAATATTTCTGGCACACAAATAAGAGTTGGTTTGCAGTATTTAATGAAGGAGTGGATCCAAAAAATTTTATTATGTGTGTTTTGTTGATTGTGTTTCAGATCATTGAGGATTTGGATGAAGGTCCCGAGACAAGTGGACTTCAGTTCGGCAAGAAACTGGATGAAATTATCCGTCAGATGGAGACTGACTCCTGACTATATGATAGATAAATTGATGATGTGATAGTCATGAAATGGACACTTAAAAGATAAACTATTGTTGCTGGATTAGGCGGTGCATTATAGTAGTATGGTTTGGTATAGCCAAGCAATGTGTAGTTATAGACTGTACAAAACCAGAAAACCAAAGACAAGTGAAGCAAAAAGCTGAAAGCCTAAAATATTTTTGTTTACACCACATGATTACAAAATATATATTCATATTAATGTATGTGCCTATTAGCTATATAGTTCATTATATTTTGCACAGATTTCTATATTTTTTATGTTTCTACAAATGCTAGTTTGAGAAACAAGCTGGTTGGAAAAGCTAGAGGTTGTTGTGGAATGTGAAGCCCAGTGTCCAAGATTTTGGTGCAAATTTCTTTTTAAAGCTTGCTATAATTTTATACCATTTTCTGAAATGTACTGTGTATGCCTGGAAATGCACTTTTTTAAATATATAAAATTTTAATGATTTTATACCCAACAAAAGCTTCCCAACCTTGAGTTAGAAAATGCTGATTCAAAACCAGTGCTTTTTATTGTAAATGTATTTTTTGTAAAAATCAAAATAAATTTTATCTTTTAACTTTGAGGTATAGCAGTTGTTAATATAAATATACAAACCTTATGTTTTATCATAACAGCATTTCTTTCTTTTACTGCCAATTGTATGAATGCCTTAATTGTATGTATATAAGAACTTGGAATTACAATGAAGCGCATTGAAGTGGTAAAATTTCCCGTTGGAATGGAACGTTTTGAGCTATCTTTAGAACGTTGATTGTCATACAATGACGCCCATTTCTTTAGAAAGTAAAAATCGGTCGCATGGTTCATTGGAATACCTGTAGAACAGGTATTCTAAAAATATAATATCCAATCAAATTGACGGTCTACATAAACACAGAGTACGCACGTGTTCGACCAATACATGTGTTATGGAAACTCCAATAAACAGATAAATTCATAATTATGTACAAATTCGTTGCAATACTTGTTTTATAGAAGGTGGAACTCTCTAAATCTCTCTTATAACTTTAAAAATCTCGATTTCAGTGAAACTGATGTTGCTTTTTGTAAAGAGTGGGGTGTCCTAAAACATTACCACGAATATTTCTTGTATGGGCGTGTCATTCTGTAATAATTGACGTTCAAAACATTCATCCAAACGGAAAATTTTACCACTTCAATGCGCTTCATTGTAGATGAAAGTGCATTTTTTGAGATATTTAGTTTATTACATGTTTTTTATTTTGGGGAATATTTTTCTTGGAAAGCAAGAGGATTGAAGATTGATGAATCATTAGGACTTTGATTCCAAATGCATGTTGTGTTTTAAACCAAATGATTTGTTTTACCATTGGAGCTCTTAGTTGATTTTATCTCAAAAACAGTCTGTGATGTTAACTATGTGTATTGGAATGATTATAAAGTGTACAGTTTATGCAAAGCATCTATTTCGCCCATTGTATATAAAGGTTCCTTGGAATTCAAACTTATTATATTTCACAAATAGATATTAGATATCAGCAGAAAACTATACATTTAGTCTTATTTTAGTTTTCAATAGGTGATGGTGAAATTTTATTACATTTAGAAAGTCTAATTCTGTAGCATGCATTTAGTTGCTTTAAATAATGTCAAGATTTTATTGGCATGATTCAGTAAAACTTGATTTAGTAGATGATTAATCCCTAGAAAATTTTGTAAAAAAATCATAGAATTTAGTTTATCTTAATTGATATTAATATTTTTTAAATCTTTGGATTTCAAATGACAATCTCATAGATAGCAGTTTGCATAATATTGACTAACAATCAATCTGGATTTTTTTCCCTCCCAAAACGAAAGAGTTCACATTTGCACACAATAGATGAACAGTCTCTATAGTACCGGTTCACTGTACAAAAAAAAAATTGAGGAACAATCACACAAAAGAATGATCAATCAACAGATTTCTGATTCCTTTTATACGCAATTTTGTATGTTTTTTTTTTAAAAAGGCTATGAACCCTAAAAGTCTATTCATAAAATGACCCGAGAGTTTGGGAATTTTAGTAGAACTCAAATACAACTGATTTCTGATGGACTGTTGTTAATGGAAGGGTTTAGGTTATACTTTTACGTTAGATTAAAAGTGATGTAAATGTTTATATGTTATGATGAGAAGCCTACTAAAGAGTGCTAAAATTTGCCATTCCATTCTTATAATATATATTCTCACCATGCTTATTATACAAAATAGAACAAAGAAATAAAGAATTATTTTCTTTTTGTTCCTGTTATTATTTCAATATAAAAAAAAAATGGTAATTTTTAGCACAGATCAATATGTAGACATGAAGTGTTGTGATTGACTTGGTGGGAGTGAAGGGGCATCACTCTTCACAAATGTTTGTTGTTTTAACGGCCTTCTCGAGAATTTTTCACTCATGAATACGGAGATGCCACCACTTGCACTCAAAGCCATTGAGCAGGGAGGAATTTTTTTTGTGCCAGCTCCTAGTGGGACACCGGAACTCAGTTTATATGATCTTATCTGATAGACTGATCTCCAAGTCCCACAGCGGGATTCGAACATTACTTTGCAACTCTAGGTCACACGCTCTAACCATTGCACCATGCAGGCAACTACAAAAGTTTGTAATTCTATAATAAATTAAATTATACCCCCGCAAACAGAGTTTAGGTATATTTGAATCAGCTAGTCTGTCTGTCTGTCTATAGATGTCTGTGTCCGGACCATTTCTCAGAAACTTGTGAGGATTTGTCTGAAAATTTGTACTTATTATTCACCATATGAAGGTGTGTACCTGGTATTTTCAACTTTATTTGGTAATTTTTCTGCATTTTACAGGTGTTATTTTTATTTCTATTGACTTAGTCATTTTGGGTTTATGTGTAAGGTTTGAGACATAGAATCTAGAACATCTGTACAAAAATGTGAAAGTAAAATTGATCATTAAAACTAAAATGAAACATCAAGTGTTAAAAACTAAAATGAAATTTTACATACATAATGCATCCCCACCCTACCCCACTGTCATAATTTAGACATTTTGAAATCTACACTACCCCATTCCTTCCATGGGCACATATGTTTCAGCTTTTTTGGCCCAGTGGTTCCAGAGAAGAAGATTTTCAAAGATTTTTCATATATTTCTATGTAAAACTGTAAATGGCCCTGCCCTTCCCCCGGGGGTCATGAATCCTACAATTTAGAATCTACACTACCCCAGGATGCTTCCACATAAGCTTCAGCTTTTCTGGCCCACTCCCTCTTGAGAAGATTTTTCCTATATATTTCTATATTAAACTTTGATTCCCCATTGTGGCCCCGCCCTTCCCCCTGGGGTCAAGATTTGAACAATTTAGAATCTACATTATACCAGGATGCCTCCACATAAGTTTCAGCTTTTCTGGCCCAGTGGTTCCTGAGAAGAAGATTTTCAAAGATTTTTCCTATATATTTCTATATTAAACTTTGGTTCCCCATTGTGGCCCCGCCCTTCCCCCGGGGGTCATTATTTGAACAATTTAGAATCAATACCAGCATGTGTTTCTCTATTTTTCCTATATATTTCTATCTAAAACTTTGATTCCCCATTGTGGCCCCGCCCTGATGTGAACAATTTAGAATTTGACAAAATTGGCCCAGTGGTTCTTGAGAAGAAGATTTTCAAAGATTTTTCCTATATATTTCTATATAAAACTTTGATCTCTCCTTCCCCCGGGGGTCATGATTTTAGATTACTCTTAATTGTAAGTAGTTCTTGAGAAGAAGATTTTTTATATTTTTGTCTTTCTTGATTATCTCCCCTTGCGAGGGAATATGTCACTTTATTTTAACAATTTAAATTCTGGATGCTTTGTACCAAGTTTGGTTAAAATTGGCCTTTTTATTTCTAAAATGAATTTGATATAAAATTACATGCAAGTTAAAGATAAATTAATTTGATTTTGGCATTTGATCAATGTGTTATCTATATCTCATGAATTTTTTTTTTACTCTTAATTGTAATTTATTGTCTGTCAAAGCACTTAATTACTGGATGACCACCTTTTTATTTCTAAAATGAATTTGATATAAAATTAACAAAATTAATTTGATTTTGTATAATATGATTTTTTTACAAATAATTTGCAGAGTATGACAAAAATATGCAGTTTATTTTTTCAATGAAATAAAAAAAAACTGGTACAACAATCCAATTAAAATTAGATGTTAGATCCGCTTGCAGTATGCGAGCGGATCTAACATCTAATTTTAATTTGACTTTTACAATGTATTAGTATTGATGTTTTATTTGGTTGCACCTTTATAGTTTCATTCATTAAAAGAATACAATGAACAATTATATTTTCACTCTAATATCTAAAAGAAAATTATGAACACCTCTTAATAGATCCACAAAATATTTGCGAATTGGCACCTTCTCTGAAAAAAAAACTGCGAAGGGGGGGGGGTATTTGTCCCTATAGGACAGTTCTAGTTAACTCTTTTCTTGGATATAATTTGCTTTAATGTTAAAGACTAGAAATATCTCATACAATATGAATATCACTTACCCAGTTTTACGTTTTTCGTGTCAAAAACAATTTATATGCCTTACCCGATTTTACGTTTTTTTTTCATTGCAAAACGAAAAGAATTGTTTCCTCGTTAAAAGCTGATAGTAAAGTATAATGGGAACAAGTAATTCATTTCTTCATAAAGAGAAAATATATCTCCAAGACAGATTTTGCCATTTGAAGATTGTTATGTAACGTTTCATTCTGTCATCACGTAAGTTTGTATCGGCGCTTGAAATTTGACGAAGATACTTTAATTTTGTATTTTAAATTGTTTATTTCTTTAAACTAAAGTAAAAGCAAAATAGAAATAACTTATAACAAAAGACGTATATACCCAAACCACATTATAAAGGATGGAAAATTTTTTGCTCCTGAATTCACTAACAGAAGGTTCTTGACAGCTTTTTTAGTTACCTCCTGATCCTGGTCAAGGCACCAATTTCCAACATGAGGGAGAATTCTGGACAGGTGCTCCACCAGCAAGGGTATCTGGATATAGGCGATTGGACCTGGGACTTGTAATTAGGATTTAGGTAATCTATAATAATTAGGGATGTCAACGAGTACCCGGTTAACCGGGTAAGAATCTACTAAAATCGGTACTCGGTTACTCGGATGTATATTTCTGAATATTTCTAAGCTTATTTATTAATGCATTAAACAATCTGTTTTAAAACTTTATTCTCATATTGTACCTACGGTAATTAGGGTTTCCTACTCCTCTAAATGACCGTTATCGCCCGTGACAGTGTTTATACAGTAATTATCGTGACAAAGCACCTGTTACCTGGCTTTTCTCACCTTCGGCTGTCTTCCAACCTTATTTGTTTAATTTGCTTTAATTATTTGTTTCACGGAACATCGTTTAAGGTCTGTTATGATTAAATAAATTAGATAATTTTGTCAATTCTCCGAGAAGCCGTAAATTCTCGGGAAAAGATTACACGCGCGATTGTTAATATGGTTGTGTTTGATTACATGCCAATACATGTACAAATGGTTAAAGGCAAAGGCTAAAAAAAATGATGTCCATCGTTGCACCAAACTACAAAACACCGTCCCGTAATACTATAAAATCTAGGATCGAAAAGTATACGAAAATCGTAAATCCGCTCTGTTAGAACTTGGTCAAGTTCAAGTCAAACTGTACAACTGATACGTGGACGTCAAACGCAACAAAGAGTAACATTACAATTACGGAGCAGATTAATTTTTTTTAACAATAACACCATGAACTACTTACGATTTTATTTCTTGTGTTTATCTGATAAATAAATTGAACTTTAAAAATTGTTGTATTAAGTTTCGTCGGGCACGAAGTGCTCATCATTGTTACAACAGAAATGCACTTACAGCTAAACCTCCTATCAGAGCATGTGGTTTTATTTCTTCAAGAGTTTACAGTGTTTTACATTCATCAATTTACTTGTTCTTATTTATTTACACTTTTACCGAGTACCCGGGTACTCGATCGGAAAAACGTCCGAGTAACCGAGTATTAAAAATTGACCGATTTGACATCCCTAATAATAATGTCAAGAATCTTTAATTATTTATACAGTGTTAGAAAAATATATTTCTTCGAATCCATCTCTCCCCTCGAAACTGAGAACTATTTTAGTCGGAGACTAAGTCTTTAATACGTCTTCGTATTATATGCATTATTTCATTTGATCGAGTCGCCCGCGTGGTGCAGTGGTTAGAGCGTCTGCCTTAGAATCTATGAGTAAAGAGTAGATCCTTACTTTATGGGTTCGAATCCAAATGTGGACGTGGAGACCGGTCTTTTGGTTGGGACAGTGTAAATTAATTGGGGAACCGTGTCGCAGTAGGTGCTGGCACGAAAAAGATCCCTCGCTGCACAATGGCCTCGAGTGTAGAATATATAAGTAGGTCAAAAGCAAATTTCCATGGGCAAATGGTGGCGTCTCCATATGAGCAAAAAAATTATCAAGAAGGACGTTAAACAACAAACAATCATTCGAATATATAGACAAATATCGTTTTAGTAATTTGTTGAGAAGATGTAACGTTAGGAAACTGCAGCTGATGAATTACATTGTCCAAACAATTTAAGCGAAGCATTCATAAGCAGAATGAACAGAACTACATGTAATAAAATTTCACATCTTGAGAAGTTTGGATTTACATTGTATTTATTTTAACATATTATTTCATTGTTTTGTTGGTTTTTTGTTTTTTGTTTTTGTTTTGTTTTGTTTTTGTTTTTTTTTTGTTTTTGTTTTTTTTTTGGGGGGGGGGTGTTGTACGAATGGTATTGTAATAATACACAAGATAACATGCGCAGAATAACACTAAAGTTCGAGATTTAACCAACTTTATCAAGAAATATCAAACCTTGAAGCTTAAGATTATATCGATATTTTAAATATTGAATATTTAACACGGTCACACATTGACGAGTTAGGACAGCTAGCCGTTGACATGCACTTTATGTACAACAATTGGCAGCGACCAAAATCTCCGATTGTTTTGAAGATTTATATATATTGCCCCCGTTTTGAGCCGGTCTTCGGACAAATCGAAATCAACGAAGATGGACTTTCTTGAAATGGAAGAGACCGACGCTTTCTACGATTCCTGTCGCACGAGGGCGCTACACGAATTCAATGATGATTTAGAACAATCACTGGAATTGACAAAAGACGTTTTTCATGCGCTGGTTCAGAACAAATTAATTTCAAATCAAGTGATGGATATTTTAAGCGGGGTAAGAATTGGATAGGATAAAGAAGTATAAATATTTAGGGTAAAATGTTTAATATTCTTAATGGAACTTTGTAGCAATGCAATGCCTTCTCTTGTATTAATTACTGCAAAATCGTAATCAATATATTTTCCTCCAAAAAAGTAATTAATTTAAACCGCCAATGACGAATCTAAGAAAGTATGAATATAGTAACTGTTTTATGAATTAAATTAAGGTATTAGCATATGATACACAACCATGTGTAAAAATATTTCCAATGTTACCCAATATATGCTTTTACTCTCTTGAAAGAAATATTCGAAAAATCACAATTTTTTGACGAGTATTTTCACTTATAACCTTTTTTATTTAGCCATCTCTGGACAATGAAGCTAAAGTTCAAGGAGTTCTGTTTAACATCAAGAAGAATATGACAGAGGATAAATTCAACAGATTCCTGAGCGTCATTGAGAGCACTGGGTTAAGACACATCGCCAAAGCGATCTGGAAAAGCTACTCTGAGAGGGCCAATGTCTTTCAGCCGAAGACAAAACACGGTTTGTTTCACTTGATTGTTTGTTTAACGTTGCTTACTATTGAGATGTGGTACTAACTTTTACTCAATTTAGACCTGTACTCCTGTAGACCTGTTCGATCTCGACACTTAGAGTCTTTGAGCTTTCTGGGCTAGTACCTACTGCAATTTTTGAACTGGTTCATACGACCTCATCCGATGGGACGATCTCCACGTTCCGCACTGGGATTCGAATCCGCGATGTAAAGATCAACTCCTTACTCCGCAAATCTTAAAGCAAACACTCTAACCACTGTGCCACTTGGTCGATCGATAGAGCATTTTAATCGATAAGGACTTTCAGTAAGCACATACATACGATTCATCACATTTTCTTAATTATGAAATGTTATCATGTTTCTTTTAGTTGGTTGCCAAACTGAGAACAATGTGCCAACGAAACTTCCCATCAAAGAGAGACAAAAACTTTACCGAATTTATGACAAACTTAACAAAGGGTTGAAAGGGAAACATGGCCGACGCTTTCATTTTGATAACTCTCCCAAACCAGACGAGAACTCGATTCGAATAGAAGATGTGGATAGAGAGATAGACAAATTACTGGAAGTTTTCCATGAACAAATACATTACATTGCAAAATTCTGTGATAAGCTTGGACTACATGCTCACGAGTTACCGACGGTGAGTCAGGAAATAGAAAAGCTGGTTGGTAAATGCAAGACGTTAGAAGCCAAAGTGAACAGTATGTCTGTAAATTCGTTGTTTAGCCAGTACTTCAAGGAAGAGACCAGCGCATCTTCTTTTTCAAGTACGAATCGGAAGGAAAAGAACCCGGAACCAATCAGTTACAGATCCAGTACACCTGTACCGACCTTAGACCTTCAAACGACAACACGGACAAAAGACAACCATGTCAGGAGAAGCAACAATAAAATTCATTTTGAAGATCGTGATGTAATTAAAAAGGACGACAAAGACAAAGAATCATTTCAGAATCATCGAAAATCGTCAAAACAGACGATGATGATGACAAATGGATTCCGCATCGACACCACAAGGACAAGCGCCATAATGCAGACTCATCTTTCTCCATTCGAGATCGCTATTCTCGAATCTAAAACCAGAGAGAGTGTTCACTTCCCGTCACGTGATTACAGTGCAAAAACCAGTAATCATAATTCTCAGTTTGAAAATGGGTCAAAGCACCCCGTAAAGGGAAGACAGGCTGATATTCCAAGGACAGAGATATGGAAAAATTTGAAAACACGAAAACAAAACACGCGGGCAACTGTTCATAATTCAACATCAAAACATTAATCTTTAAAGCTACATGCTTCCATTTCTTCATATGTAAAATAGAAAAACAAAACATAATTTCTTTATTTGCTGTCACATAAACCAAGGAAGATAATTTTCTATTCATATATTTTAAGAGTCTAATATGTATTTGTCAATTGTTTATCCTATGGAATTTTTTTTTTACAGGATGAAACTAATTATGATTAAAATACAGGTGTTTTAATAAGGTGTTCCATTCAATACTGAATAATACATGTATTTATTCAAGGAAACAATGACACAATTTTATTCCCAATTTATCATGTCTTCAGTCTTTGGCATGATTCGGGGACCCCCGATTGAACATAATTGTCCTTTAGAGATATAAATCCAAAGATCCAAACTATACTGCCAATTAAGTGTGTGTATTAACTGTCCGGAATGATGAACTGCGATAGCGTGCCTGTTTTAGCATTTTATTAACAAATGCATGTTATGTCATTCATCTTAACATTGCCTATGAAAATAGATATTTATTTTGATCACGGATGGATCCACAGAGAGGGGTTAGGGTGACCTTTTTTGATTTCAGATTCGTTTTAGAATCTCCCGCCTTTGCGAAGCGAGGGACATTAAACCTCTTTCGTCTGTCAGTATGTCCGTCTGTCACAAAAACTTTTGAATCCAAAGAGGTACGGCTTTCATATTTCACAGGTACATATCTTGTGACAAGATCTTTTCAGATATACTATGTTTTGGACCCTGTGACCTTGACCTTGAAGTTTGACCAACTTTTCAAAACTTTTAACATTACTTTATACATATACATGTAGTAACTATCGGACGAGAAAAGATATATGACTTTCTTATTAAACATATGTATTACCTGGGACAAGACTTTTCTAGATGTACTATGATTTTTACCCTGTGACCTTGATTTTGAACTTTGACCTACTTTTTAAAAATGTTATCTTTCCTTACAGCTTTTCATTGAGCAGAGATATGGTTTTCATATTTGACATGTGCATTGTTTCCGAGCATACATTTTTGACCCTTGTCCATGACCTTCATTTTTGACCTAATTTAAATTTTAACCTTGGTGTTTACTTTTGAATGACAAAGGGCGTTCATATTTGACATAATATGCCATAAATAATGGCATCCCATCCACTAAAACACCAAAAGCGGCGGATCATAATTCTTTGAATGCGGAACACTTTCTTCTGGAATTTATTTTTCGATCCACTTTTGCTGTAGTGTGCGTTTATATAGAATCTAATTTTTGCAATATTATTTTTTAAGAGTTTGTGTACATCGATCATTTATGAAATTAAGGTTCATATCAAAGTTCACAGCTGTTCACAAGGACATAACTTCAACAATTTTCAAGTGCAAATTACAATGTCTAAAAAAGAACATCCTTATTATATCATCGTAACAAACCACGGCCACCCTCTCCCATTCTAAGAGAGCTTAAATGTGGACCCCGAACCATGACTTGAGACAATGCCATTATAGATTACAACAATATAATGTAACATATATATCCTCTCTTTATATGTCACAAAAGGTTACGTGTATGTACCAACAGACATGATCAATAGGAAATATCCTACCAAACATAGCATGCCGTGTGGGTTTGAGGAAATCATTTTTAATGTAAAGTTCAAGTATCCACAGTATGTACGAAAGGTCGCTCTTTAATTTATTTTACCGGTAAATTAAAACTGCCATCTTTTGTACTGGAAAATATTGAGTCTCCTTTTAGCTCACCTGGGCTGAAAGCTCAAGTGAGCTTTCCTGATCGCATTTTGTCTGTAGTCAGTCTGCAAACTTTTCACATTTTGGACTTCTCCAGAACCATTGGACCAATTTTAACTGTACAAACTTGCAACAAAGCATCCTTGGGTGAAGGTGATTCAAGAAAATGATCGAAGGACCATGCCCTCTTTAAAGGGGAGATAATTAAGAAATAGTGAAATTTGGAGACATTATGTTTTTAAAAAACTTCTCAAGAACCACAGGACCAAAAAATTATAACTTATAGGAAACCTTCTTTACATGAGGTACATTAAAGTTTGTGCTTACATGTATTTCAATTCTACATTTAGGAATAGTATACATATATATAGTCCCCCCCCCCCCACCGATTACAAGAATTATACTTAGAAAGTTAGAATAAACATAGAATTTAGCATGGGCGGATACAGGATTTGTGATGGGGGGGGGGGGGGGGGGGGGCACATAATTTTCACGCTGGGGGTCTGGGTGTTAATATAAGGCCCGAAATTTTGAAGAAATGTAGCGTTGAAATTTTTGGCAATGTAGCGTCCGGTAATGTTGCTCTCCCGGTGGTTCAATATTAATGAGCTTCTTGTTTATTAAAGTAAGCTTTATTAAATCCTGTGTAACGTTTTACTGACAAAACCAACGAACCCCTCTTTTCCAAATTATATCTAGAAATATAAAAAAAAAAGTACCAAACACAAATTAATATTCATTTTGCACACCTGTTTCAGCAATTTGCAGTTGCGCTATTTAGAGATCAGTACTTTTATCAAATTGCTGTTTCAAATGTTTCCCTTTTCTTTGATTTAAAAGCTCACCAGGAAGAAGGAAATACGTATATTTACGAGGGTTGATCCAAAAGTAATGTCACAACTTTGATAAAATCGCTATCCGTGGACGTAAAACAACAAAATTATTAATGATGAAGGCCCTGAAAATTTCAATTCAACATGATTTCTAATTTTCAAAATATCGGATTATATACAATGTGCGATTATGGTAGTCGCCGCAGCTAAATTACGTCATATGACGGATACGCGCCGTCATACATTTAAACGCTTCCCTCCGTTTCATTAAAAATTATGTGAGATTTGATATCCACGAACACGTTCACAAATTTCACTTTCTTACCCTTGGTACCCATCATACACTCACTCTTTTCATAATTAATTCTGTCAAAATTCATTGAACAGTAGTAAAAGACCAACTTAAATTTTCACATATCGCTTTATCCGACTGTCTTTTTGACAATGTCACACACCATTGAAAATATCCGTCCGCCCTCCCATCTTTCGGTTTTCTGGTCATCTGCTGAGCATTTAATGACCCATCAACCACCGAAAATCGCTGAAACCATCTAAACAAGTCTCTTATTTACATTCTTTCCTCCGAAAGTCTGGTGAATTAACGTAACTGTCTCTACTGGCGATTTCTCTATTTTGAAGCAAAAAATGCGTTACAGTTTGTTTTGGCTTTTTTGTCCATTTTGACATTTCCTTTTTTTCAATGCACCGGAATAAATCAACGATGTTTTTCATAAAAAATAGCAGTGATGTCATATAATTTTTAATTTAAGACTAGAAAATGAAGTCAATTTTTGCCTTTTAAGGTATTTTGTGTTTAGGCGCTTTTAAAAGATGCTTTTTAAGTGTTTGTCTTTTTTATACTAAAAAAGTACACTTTAATTTGTGACGTTCGAACACCCCCTATCTTAAATGTTTTAAACATCTATAAAATAAATTCAGTTAAACATTATCGAATGAAAAATTAGAGTTTAATTAAATTTATAATTGTGCATCTTTTGGTATATAATATTTGATAATATGACGCCAAATATAAAAGATACGGACACTGTGACATTACTTTTGGATCAACCCTCGTATTCAAACATTTCTTTTCTTTTGGTATATTGTATTTGATATTTACTTTTGGCTCAACCCTCGTATAATTATTCAAACATTTCTTTTCTTTTGGTATATTGTATTTGATAATATGACGCCAAATATAAAAGATTTGGACACTATGACATTACTTTTGGATCAACCCTCGTATGATTATTCAAACATTTCTTTTGAGATTGTTGTCTGTACCCTACACACACTCAAAGCTATAAATTATACTATTTTATACACTTTATTTGGATGTATTAAATGTCCTTCCTCATAGATTAGCATTCAACCGAATTTACATAATAAATTTTTTTTCACAGAAGGATTGGTAAGGTAGCATAAATCAGTTCAATGTTTGATGGTTCATTTGTACATTTCTCTGTCACTATGTATACGCCACTGATTTAGAATTCTGACAAGAACATTTCAATATAAATAAATATAAATATAGAAAAAAATAATAAGTACTAAAAAAATTTTGTGTAAAAAAATTATTTCACCAGCGAATTGAGCCTAATTAAATCAAAATCTTTATGTAGGTCTAATTAACGAATAAACAAATTCTTGTCATTTTTAATTTTTTGTGTGTGTGTGTGTTTATTTTATTAGAGTACAGGTGTCTTATCAAAGTTTTGGACTAAATTCTGAAAAGATTATTGTCATTTCTGCCTCGCTGGTGGGTTATGTCTTAAATCACAAAATTTAAATGACTTGGCCTAAATCTTTTTACGAAAAATCACGTGTTTCTGTGTATAAGTGCTTGAATCAAATAAATACCATCCTCAAATGATAAACCGAGACAATAGATAGGAGGACGTAGAACTTGGTGCGTATTCGTAAAATCGTTTTTCTAAATATTATTATTAGGTACTAGTATATTATATATGCATTCAATAGGTTTAAATCTGAATACAATGGCAGAGTTTTAGTTTTTACTTTCACTTTTCAGATTTACACCGACAACATGAGGCTATCGATTATCTTAGCAGTTCTTGTTACGCAGTTTGTGGTTGCCCTTTCTAGGCGTTTGAAGGTGAATCCTGTGAAATTTAAAGGTAAAAAGTATGCGCTCATTTGATGAAATAAAATAATGTATGCGTCAAGTATGTTTTCTAAAGATTTTAAAATCACAGATTTTTTTTTACTTAGAACCAAAGATATACAGCTAGACAGACAGACAGACATTCTTTATTTCCTCTGCAGAAGAGATCAAGAGTTGAGTTGTCGTGAATGGCAAAAAGGAAACAAAAGTTGTAAGACCGATACTGTATATGTATATGTACATATACATATTATATGTAAAATACCGCACCGTAAATAACATGTACTTCTAATCCACTCAACGTACATCCTTGAGTCGGTATTTCTTCTATAAGGACAAGATATCGACGTACATGTGTTCATTTTAGATCTGATACATTTACATGTATAAATTGTACACTAGATATCTCACAGAGATTTTTTTACTGGTATTGCACTTCAAGAAAAAATATGTTTTAAAAAATAAACGTATACATAATGTTATAATTTCAACTCTTAATGCCTTTTTGTGGTGATACATTTAGAAGCACAAAAAGAGTATGTGCAAAAGATTATGTTTGATAACAACATGAACAACGTATGTTATCAAATCACTGTTGCCTACGCTATCTGCATTGATGGAATAAAGGCGAGACTTATCGACCTTAGATGCAGCGATTTCCAATAACAAAATACAAAGAAGACAAAAGACTAATCGTCCACACATTTTTTCCATACCAGCGAGCTTCATATTTACAGCTATCTCTCCCCGCAAACTCTTCAAAATCAAATCAAATCTGTGTACTTATTTAATAAGACAATAGGGCCAACTAATTACTTAAAATTAATTTATATAGTTTGATATATACTCAAAAGTATGCACCGAGTTCGATCTTTTTTTCAATCCGGGGCAGGCTAATGACAGATAAGTTGATGTTGCTAAGATTTCAACAACCTCTTTTACATCAGTTGGTATTTCGTAAATTATATGGTCGTAATTATGACCTTGTAGGCAATTTTTTTTATTATAACTGGGTCTTTTTTGGCTAACTTGTTTCATACCCATTATAATTAAATTTTGTGACCTGATCAATATATAGGACTAACAAAAATGTGGCCGGTCCACAGGGGATGCTTAGTCCTCCCAGGCAACTGATCCCACCTCTAAATTTCCCAGAGGTCAGTGTCTTATGCCCTAGCTTTTCTTCCACAGATTTCTATTGTAAATAAATATCTTTTTTAATCCATTGATCACTTTTCATTATCTTCCTCTTTTTCATTAACTACATGATTATTGTGAACTATTAGAATAGTCTAAGAAATGAACAACTCAATCAAATTTTCCGGTTTGTCCCGTAGGTCCCATTATTAAAAAGCGAAAAAAAAACTTTGAACATAGGATGAAAAAAAAGCGACATTGGATTTTTTTGTCTCACAAACGAAAAAAAACCAACTGCAGCCCTTTTCTTTGTACCGACAGGGCGGGGGGGGGGGGGGGGTGGAGGGCTCGCGTGTATATGGATGGTCAGAAGTTCCTGCTCTCACGCCTGACCATAATACAAAACCCAACCCTACTTTTTCTATGTAATCAAAGGAGAGATTTTATATATTGTGAAACTATGTCTTGCTTCAGACTGTAGCCATGTAAGAGCTCTGGGTCATATGAAGAATGGCACGTATACATTATGGATGAATGACACAACACCCTTCAAGGTATAAATCAAGCAGTTAATCAATTATCTTTTTCTTGGTTATAATTTGACTTTGATTCTCTGAAGAAACAGCTTTAACGCTTACAAATTTTCAAAAAGAAATTTTAATTAAATAATAATATTGCAAAAAACACCATCATAGCTTACAGCAAATTCGGTACAAAAGTTTTGACAGATACAAGTATGTTTAATTTGAAAAACTCTTTACAATTCTGCTGAAACATAACTACATGTACATGTAGTGTACTAATTTCAAATCTCATGTCGATATATATATACGTAGGTACGCTGTGAGCATGGAGCGTCTAATTCGTTCACCGTGATTCTTCGGAGAATGTACGGGACAGAAAACTTCTACCGTGGTTTCCATGACTACCAGTACGGCTTCGGTCATCCCCAGGGAGATTACTGGGCGGGGCTTAACCAAATCTACTACTTGACCTCCACAGGTAAAGTGAATGTCAAAAATCAGGTAAGCTTTTATAAACTGTTGCAAAAAACATTGTGTTCTTTTTCTCCAAAAACACCAAGGTCATATAATTATGACCTTGTTAGCTGCAGATCTGTAGCGTTATTGCAGCCCGGAGGACCAGGCTGATCTATACATTTAAGTTTAAGTGTTGGTGTATGGGCAAAATTTGCAGCTCTCAACCGGCAAGTGATGGCGTCTCTATATGAGTGAAAAATTCTCGAGAGGGACGTAAAACAATATACAATCAATCAATCCAAAACATCAAGGTCATTCTTCTTTTATTGGGGTTAGAACATGTAGGCTAGCGTCGATTAGGTTTACTCAAAACTGACTTTTACACAAGGTTAGTGTTGGTGCTGCAATGTTGGAACAGATTAAATAGAAAATTTAATTTTGTTGTTGTTGAAAATCTGTTGAAAAAGAATAGCAGGAATAAGATGATTCAGATGAGGGTCGTGACCCATTGACCTGTTAATGTTGTTTCTACAATCTGATAAATTATTTCGAGAAAAGAATTGTAAACGTTCTCTATTGAAAGCTATTACAATCCAATAACTCGGAAGTTATTTTGTTTTCCAAGGTAACAACATTCTGACTGTAAACATGCAGGACTGGTACGGAAATAATAGAAACGCTCGGTACAATCACTTCCGGGTCAATGCTGCGCCATATTTCCAGCTTTCCATTGGATCTTTTCAAGGTCAAGTTCCAGATGACCTGGCATTTAACAACGGCATGTATTTTGCCACCCACGACAAACCAGATGCACACAGTTGCGCTATCCACCAGAAAGGGGGGTGGTGGTACAACTATTGCTCCTACGCCCTCCCCACGGGCGTGTATTACCACGGGGGACCTTACACACCCTCTGGTGGATATTACGACGGTATTTACTGGAAGGATTGGCAAGGATATGGATATTCTCTGAAATATTTAGCCATGACTGTTTCAAATGTCTAATCTTGACTTGAAAGAGATGTTGCAATTTTTCATGGATTTTTGGTCATTTGGTAGGAAAACAAGCTTGGTTTATGGAAGTAAATTGCAAAAAGTCCTGTGTATATGTACAATGTAGTAGCAAATAAAACTTTGATCATGAAGATATTGCTCAGTTTTGTGATGTACGGTGTGCTAATTGATCTTTATCTAATACCTCATGCTAAAAGTATTTTCTATCATATTATATCTTGATCGTAAAGAGTATAGGGTGTTGATTCATATGCCATTGTAATTTATCATAAATTATAACATTGTTATATCTTGCAACATTTTAAAGTTTTTTATTAATAAATCTTTTAAAGTTTATTGAACTTTTTATGCATTCAGATGGATATTGAACTCGTTTACAGTGGAGCGTCATTTATCCGGATGCTTTGGTTCCTAGTCAATTTGTCCGGATATGTGAGGCGTCCAGATATCTGTTAAACAAGACAAAGTAACTTTTAAAAAATCCGTTCCGATCAGGATGAAAAGTCGTCCGGATACTGAAGCATCCGGATTTCTTGCGTCCAGATATATGAAGGTTCACTGTACATGTTTGTCAGTTGATAAAATATTGGCACAAATTGCAATTGGTTTTCAGAACAAGAGAGATTTGCTGCGTATTTGCAGAAATTTAAAATCACAAAATTTTTACTAAATTCAATAGCATCTAAACTTAAGTTTAAGTTTTAAGGATATCCGATCCTCAGCCAAAAAAGGATAACTCTTTAATTTATAATTTAATTCAAAAAGTATTAAATTAAAGCTTGAAATTGAAATTTTTTCATGAACAATTTTCATTTTAAGCCTCCACGTATGATTCAATGTTCTTTAAAGTTTTTACAAATGGTATAAAAAAAAAGTTGACATTTGTACCTCATAAAACTATGTAAAACTTACATATTTAAAAAAAAAATCAAAGTTCTTTTAATTTAGCCTTAGTTACCAATGTTTATAAGCATGATTTGAGAGGTGACTTACGATGTTTTCTTTAAAAGGAAACACTTCATACACTATGCATTAAGAAACGATGGAAGTAAGTAGGAGAAAGTAAAGTACCAAATAAGTGTAAAATTCATGCATTTTTCTTTAAAAGCCTGGATACCTATGATTTTTATTCCTAAAATGTATTTTTTATCAATTATCAATTAGAAAATATGCAGTAGGTAGCTCTAATAGCATTTCCTGAAAAAAATATTTGAGATTTGTTTATTTTCCCTATATAATATGATATAATATAAATTTAATGATGAAGTTTAAAGAAATACCATGGGTAAATACATTTAACTTTGAAAATTTAGAGACATCTTTGTGAGCATTTTCAATTACTCAATTTTCAGAACCTGAGGATCGGATAACCTTAAACTTAAAAGACTTTTCCTCTCAATAAACAACCATTCCCCACTATAAATTAAAGTTCAAGCTTTATTAAAAGTCTTTTGCAAAATTATTTTAAAACTCTGAAGTTAGTATTAAAAAATGTTTGAGTTTCTGATTGACAATTTCTACTAGTATGTGTTTTTTGGAGACCAGATCTTCCAACAATCTGTAAGAATTCCTATGGGTACCAGTTATGCCCCGTTATAAACAGAACTATTTTTGTTTTCGTGTGAGGCAGAATTTATCAGAAGTAATATGCATGAGAAGAAGAAAACACTTCAAAAATACTGAGACCTTCAGTTCGACATTTGAATATATTGACGATCGATATATATGTACATGTAATACAATTAACAAAAGTTACTTCCAGACAAAGTAATGTTGAAATGACATATCCCACTGATCTTGACAAGAAAGACACCACAGAGTCTAGTCCGAAATATCTGACAATTTCTTTTACGATTTTGACATTTTACGTGCCAGGAAAACAAAACAGTAAACTCCGGGAAAACGTCAGATATTTCGGGCTACACATGCACATCAATATTTTATCTCTGAAAAAAAGAAAAAAAGACGTTAATGGTAACATATAAAAAAAACAACATGAGACACGAGATGACTTTCAACTTTTACATCATTTACATCACTTACTTAAGTAGCAATGAGATAAGTTATTGACAAACAAGTTGATGAAACAATGATATCAACTGTCGCATATAAAATCATTGTTATGCAAGTTTCAAGAAATAAAATCTGAATGTATATGATTTTGTCAAATCTTGACTGACGTTTTCATACTTTTTGTTGGGCATTTATTTACCAGAGCTGCAGAACTGTAGCCCATTGAAAAAACAGTATATTTATTGCGCACAAAAAAGTTGCGCTTAGTTCTGAATTAATTCTATCAAATTCTTATTTCCATTGCAAAAAAAGCTAGACTTCAAACAATTCCTTACTCCTCTATCAAGTACTCTCGTAGTTGGCATCTGCACAAATAATCTTGCAAATCAATACATGTATGGCCGCATGAATGGACGAATTTTTCGATGATCTCAATTTCAGGACCTGGAGGGCTATTGACAACAATTATAGCAATTTTTTTTGTGGAAACGATGAAAGAATATGTAAGGAACACACGATTAGTGATATTTTGAATTGAGAGTTTTAAAAACATGGAGAAATAATAATTTAAACAAGCAAATTCAAAGAATTGTGGTCCCCCGCTTTCGGTGTCTTTGTGGGTGAGATGTTATCTTTTATGACATATTGTGTGTAATATGAACATCCTATCATATGTCAAGTATTTAGAAAGTAACATTGAAGTTGATTTTTTTTAAAGGATGAAAACCCTAATCCTGACCGTTAAAAAGTTATGGCCAAAGTAAAAAGTTTTTTTAAAAGTAGGTCAACTCCAAGGTCAAGATCAAAGGGTCAAAATTGTTGATATCCAATGAAAGGTTTTTTTCACAAGGATTACATATGTGAAGTATGAAAGCCCTAGTCCTTACTGTTCAAAATTTATGGTCAAGGTTAAAGTTTTTTCATAAGTACGTAAATCTTTAAGGTCAAGGTCAAAAGATCAAAGTTGTTGTATCCAATAAAAGGACCTGCCACAAAGAATACATATTTGAAATATAATAGTCCTAGTATTTACCGTTCAAAAGTTGTGACCAAAGTTAAAGTTTTTTTAAAAAGTAGTTAAAACTCCAATGTCAAGATCAAAGGGTAAAAGTTGTTGGTATCCAATGAAAGGTCTTCTCAAAAGGAAAACATATGTGAAGTAAGAAAGCCCTAGCCCTCAACGTTCAAAAGTTATGGTCAAGGTTAAAGATTTTTCATAAGTACGTAAATCTCCAAGGTCAAGGTCAAAAGGTCAAGGTTGTTGATATCCAATGAAATGTCTTGCCACAAGGAATACATATGTGAAATATAAAAGTCCGACTATCTACTGTTTAAAAGTTGTGACCAAGGTTAAAGTTTTTAAAAAGTAATTAAAACTCCAAGGTCAAGGTCAAGGGGTAAAAGTTATTGGTATCCAATGAAAGGTCTTCTCACAGGGATTACATATGTGAAGTAAGAAAGAAGTAAGTCCTCACCGTTCAAAAGTTATGGTCAAGGTTAAAGTTTTTTCATAAGTACGTAAATCTCCAAGGTCAAGGTCAAAAGGTCAAGGTTGTTGATATCCAATGAAATGTCTTGCCACAAGGAACACATATGTGAAATATAAAAGTCCGACTATCTACTGTTTAAAAGTTGTGACCAAGGTTAAAGTTTTTAAAAAGTAATTAAAACTCCAAGGTCAAGGTCAAGGGGTGAAA